AAAGAACGTTTATTCGCTGGGGATATTAATAACATATTTATTTAAATCTCAATTCTTTCCTTTAAGTAAAATAAGCGATTGCTTTCGTGAAAAATTATGATTATAAAAAAAATATACATTTCCTCATTCGAAACAAATTGTTTCCCAGTATAGAAATATGTATATCAATACACGGAGAAAATATTGTAGTAAAAATTACCACAAAATTTTCGAATGATACATTGGAATTATGATTGAAATTATGATGCGTGTTGTAATATTTAGTTATGTATATCTTGTGCACACATCACTAAAAATTACAACACACATAATAATTTCGATAATAATCCCGATATGATCCAGCGTTACAAACTTTCGTAATAATTTTTACTACTAGGTAATCAAAAAAGTTCGTGCGGTTTTCAGTAGAGAGTTCGCTCGATAGAGCTCCGATAGAGCTTTAACATGCTATATACTCTTTTCCTGCAGTTGTTTAATATCTATTATGAAAAGCCGCACGAACTTGTTTGGTTACCTGACGCAATATTTTTCTCGTGTACGAGTAAAATGTGTTATTGAAATATCCCACTGAATAAATACCTTTTATTTCTTTAATATCATTTCTCTTAGTGTGCGAGTGCTTTCAAATAATAAGTCGCTCGGCCGTAAAGGAATTAATATCGCGCACGAGTAACGACGGGCGGGATGTTCGAAAAATTCCCCGGGGGAACTCGGAGCAATAAAACGTGCGATAACGACGGCATAAGGAGCAAGGAGCACGAGAATGATGCATCGGAGGAGAGCCGGTGGAACAGATTCCTCGCGCCGCGATATACACACGAGGCAACCGTGGAGCTACATCCTACGAGACCTCTGCGAGATCGCTCGATGCAATCGCGCTGTACATCCGTTCGTACTCGGCACAGACACGCGCACACAACGCGTCGGCGGAGGGACCGGTTATCCCAGCCGACGCGACGCGAGCTGCACTCGAGAGTGGCGTTGCAGTTTTCCCACTGGTACTTCAACGAACCGCGTCGGAGAAAAAGGTGGGACACGCGGAAAAACAGTCACGTTTATCATTGAGCATGGAAAGCGGAGCGGTACCAAGTGGGCGAGCGTATAAGCATAGGAGAATAGCCTACGCGTAAGAATAAAGTAATGTATGGACGTACGATGTCTCGCTGCAACCATAAAGAATAACGCTAAGGCTAGGCTGCGCAGCATCATGCGCTAATGAACGACGGTAGAGCCGAATGATGATTTCGTAATTCCATTACGTATACTTACAGATATCTCGATAAAATTATAGCGAAAGGATAAAGTCGAGGCTCCGTTAATATTTAATGAAATAGAACAGGCCGGTAAGAGCCGATGCATGGGAATTGCAGTGCAATAAATCAATTTAATCGTTAATTGCAGTGTAATAAATCAATTTAATCGTTAAGTAATTGATATGAAACTAATACATCACGTTTTCAAACGTTCCGGATCTTCTTCAGCGATGCGAAGAAGAGAACAAAGTCAATGCCGACAAAACAACAAATGTACAGGCCGGAATAAAAGCTAAAGCGAGAATTCAAGTCAGCACTCAAGTGTAAATAATCGAGAAATGAGCTAAGAACGAGTCGTAAAATAAAAGAATCATTCTTGATAATGAAGTAACCTCCAGCCGGTCAGCAATCGCAATCGCACGCATCTTTCATTACGATGTAAAAATTTACATAAAATTATAGTAATTTTCAGTTTCATATATATATATATATATATATATCTTCCCTTGTACACAGAAAAATACATACTGTACTCAAGCAAATATCATTATTTCAAATTTTTCATAAGTTTATATATCTGCAAGTATATTATAAGTTTATCGTAAGTATATCAAATTTATTCAAAATATATTCTGAATCCTAGTATAAATTTAATTACAGTCGGCATAATAAAAGCTGCAGCACTTTGTTTTTTCGATGAATTTCGGAATTCATATCCGATAGGAAAATATATTTCCTGAGAATTTCTAAAAAAACAAATCCTATTGGATACCGGAAGCGTTGCGAAATTCATAAAAAATAAAATGCATCTTTTATTATGCTAACTGTACTCCAATCAAGAATATTAAATTAAAATAAACTTCGGTTTGCTTATTCGAGTTAATCGTATTTGACATTTTTTCGATAAAGTTTATAATATTCTTGGAAAGAGAATAAATCTTTTTTTGAAATATATAATAATGAGCTTTTCCAAAATTTGTGATGAGTATAATCGAAGATTTATCACGATAATATATTCTTTATTGAAGATAACTAATTACTTAAAAGAAGGAAAGTAAACTGAATAGTGGTTTTTGTTAGCAGTAGAATGATATTTTTCTCTGTGTAATTTTAACCCGAAAAATAGTTGTAACAATATAAGTAAAGTGAAAAAATATTTGATATTTGTAATAGTAATCGCATAAGTGAAAAAGTAAACTATAGTCAGGGAAACAGTTTTCCTAATAAATGTTTCTATAATGTGTTAGTGATACACTGAAAGAAAAAGCGGTCAGATCGAAAAAATCGGCGGTCACGTGCATTCAAAAAAATATTGTGCCCACTGAACGAAATACGCGTTGGCGCAACAATACGTTGCGTTGATGCAGTTGCTGACCAAATTGCAATCGTTGAATAAATTGATAACTCGTTAGAGCAACTGTGCTTAATGAACTAAAAATCGTACTTGAACAAATTTTGTTCGCTTAAGCAAAAGTTCGTTGATTCTATCATTTTTTTTCTCAATGTATCATTGACATTGTAGTAACATTTATTAGAAAAATTGTTCCCCTGATTATAATTTTTTCACTTTTATACGATTATTGTTGCAAATATCAAACATTTTGTTCTCAGTGTAGCATATCGTACTGTCATCGGTATTACGGTTGATATCCATTGCCGTCACGTTTTGAAATCTTACATGGGAAGATCTGGAAGTCTGGAAGTGTTCCTCATCACAATTTCGATGAATCTTGGATATATTGCAGAGAAGTCGGCAATAGAAGACGTGTTTATTTTACAAGCACTTCCTCGCTTCCGAATTGTCAATAATTTTCTAACTTTACAGACATGTAAATAGTATTTTCATAAATACGTAGCTAACATTGAAATTCCGAAGATTCCTAAGAAAATAATTGGGCGGGACAACTATTTTAAGTAGATGCAGATGCGTAGCGTTGGACCAGCGAAGTAGTATGGAAAGCGGGACCGACACAACGCGTCTGCGACTACTTACAGCGCGGCGTTTACGATTCGTTGTTTCGATCCCTGAACGCACCAGAAGAAATGCTTGTAAACTAAAAGAATTGGCGTCTCTTATTTTTGGCCTCTGTACATTGAAAGAAATTATAGTTATTTTTGGCCTCGTTTATTCTTTCTGTTCTTAGGGTTTTAACCACAAAAATAATAACAGTAATATGCATGTAAAATTATTATCACTGACACTATAGGTGATCATAGTTACTTATTAAAAAATGATCTTTCTGGTTATAATTCTTTCACTATGATGATTATAGTTACAAATGCTAAATATTTTTTCTCAGTGTAGGATCCATCCGAAGCTCACCTCGAAATCGATGAGAGATGTTTGCGGACTGTTCCCTTGCCGGTGACAATTTCATGGAGAAATATCTGACAAGCGATCATTTATTGAGGAAAAACAATCGTAACAACAGCACAAGGTATTTCCATTTAACGATGGGATCTGCCATTTTGCCATTCTCCTGTCTTATTCGAGAGATTTGCACCTGTAACGAAGTGCGCTTTTGTTCGTAAGTTAAATGAATTTGCATATTTTACCGACAAACTGCATAACGGGAAAGCGGAAACGTGCGGTTACACTTAATCGCCATGGACAATTTAAAACGATGTTAACGCCGCTATAATAGAGAAGGACACACAAGCAGAATATAAATGTATACGCGCTACAGATGCAGCGGGACCGCACCTGCACTGGATAAAGGAACTAGCTACCGGTGACTCTGACATTCGAGAGTGGATCCGCAGCAGCTGCAGTGCCTCACGACGAGCAAACGCGGAAAAATAAAGCCGTTTATCATCGGGCTTACAGCGAGCGAAGGGGAAACGAAGGTGACAGAATAGACGTGGAATAATCGAATTACCATGGCGCAGAAACGAACCGTGGCAATACGCGACGTCTCGGTGATAATGCAACAAATATGATAAAGTCATCGCTTAAGTAGTTGGTCCGCACAAGGAAATATCAAAAAAGGTAAAAAAAAACCGCCCCATACTAGCGTATACATTTTCAACGCTGCAGCTTTGGTCGCGCGTTATTTTTAATATCAGCACGGGAAAAAATTTTCCCTCGGTTAGTAACTATTGTGTAACGTATCGAGTGCTACTATATAATAATATATTATATAATATGCGCTACTATATAATAATATATATCAAGACGGAATATTCGCTGTGTTTGTGACGTAGATCATGGTCGGGGCAGCGACGTACAGTTGTAATCGTGTCGTTCGCGTTGCTTCCCAAAATTTCCCACACTGCCTCGAAATTGTTTCGACGTTACAATTACATCCTAGCCGACAGGCTGCGCGCTGCGTCACTGCCCCGGCTCGTGAAAATGTTTACATTTCCGGGGAAAATTCTCGGCGTGTTCAAATGGAATAATCGATCGCTTTCGTGAAAGAAAACCCACTGTAATTATTTGTCGCAATTTTTCGTGCTCATTCCATTGCACGTTGAGCCCCTGTCGAACGGCCGAGAAATAACGGGGAATGACGGGAGCGTCGAGGAAAGCTGGGAAAATCATCGGGAGAAAGGGCGTAGTACTCCCAGGAAGGCGACGAGCGAGAGAGAGATAGAGAGAGAGAGAGAGAGACCGGGAGACCCGGCTGACGTGCGCGTGTCTTTTTCCACTGCGCGAAGCTTCGCCCGGCCGGAGCTTGCGCGCCGCAGCTGCATTCGCAGCGCGCAGAGGCGAAGCCGGCCACGCTGGTACATGCGCAATAGTATATTGATCCTGCGAATTCGAGACACACGCAGCAGCATCCAGTGGTCCAGTGGCTGTACACAATGTCATTTCTGTTCGGCGTTCTTCCGGCATTTCGCGAGCGAGGCGAGCCGCGCGAGTAATGAGAGCCGGCCCGGAGCCTGTCCGTATCGTCGACTGATAAGCGCGCGCCGCGTTTCGGACGTACCGCTGCGGATTATGATGTACAAGAAGGACACAGGATAGGCGCCGCATTTAGAGAGAGAGAGAGAGAAAGGGAGAGAGAGGGAGAGGGAAAGAGAGAGAGATAGAGTGTGAGAGAGAGAGAGAGAGAGAGTACGCGCACGAGGGAGCTGACAAGTAGCCGAAGTGCAAGTATGCCACGATACATTTAAATTTACGTGCTCGATTTTTGCGTGTACATTGCGTGAGCAAATTCGTGCTCGACCTGTCGATCGCGTTGCCCCCACGTCGTGCGAGTATTATGAACAGCAAACGGTCGAAGTGGCTTTCGTTCCGAGACGCACATTCGTCATTAATTCTGAGACATATGTAGGCAACAGATTATCGCGACCGAGAACGTGTCGGAAGATTGCGCGAAGAATGAGAATGAGTATTTCGTTAGACACTCGTCGGGGAATCTTGGTTACCTCGAGATCGAGCAGCTTTCGGCCTGTGGATGATGCTGCGAGTATATCCACGGAATGTTTGTATTTTTCGTGACGTAACAGGTATCAATGTAGAATCCATGACACGTTGTGTGAGTTGTCGGTACGATCGCGGTGACGGGGAAAATGATCGTCGCGAATGATGTTTCCGGATTCCCGGGAAATGTAGAAAAAGCCGGCCCGCCGAAGTCCGAGTAGCTCGAGATGTTTCAGGCGCTTCGGCGAATCAATTTTTTCCGTATAAAAGTTCCACGAGCAACGGGTGCTTTACATAAAAATTAATATGAGCAGACGGCCACTTAACGCAACAGGTTCATAATTCTACAACTAACAACTCGCAAAGCTCAGTTAAGCTATCGGCATAGCGTTATAAGCACCGGTTAGATTAAATTGAAACCCCGGTCGACAATAGGGTAAAAAGAGGGAAAAAGAGAAAGAGAGAGGGTGAGAGGAGATGCAGGGATAAATGACAGTTGAGTAAATTGCAAAAACGTCCGTTTTAACTTGGGTTCTTTCTCGGGGGACAAAACCGAATGTGTCATCGCGGTGAATCGCACGGTCGAGCGGCCTCGTGTCGTCGGTTCAACGATGTTTCTGTGCAGGATGCTTCTGATGACCGTCGTTTAATCGCACAACGGCCAGAAGAAATGATATCCCTTTTAATCATCCTGCTCCTCACCGCGGGGATCTGCAATAGCAATCCGGACGCTAAGAGGCTTTACGATGATCTCCTCTCGAATTACAATCGACTGATCCGGCCTGTATCCAACAATACGGACACCGTCGTGGTGAAACTAGGACTACGTCTCTCGCAACTGATAGATCTCGTATGTGGTATTATATGTTCCCACCGAGAGAGGAAGAGAGAGAGAGAGAGAGAGAGAGAGAGAGAGAGTGGACGACCCTGCACAGAGAAATGCGACTGTTCGAATTAACGCGATTGGAGCATTGTCCAATATGTGACGAAAACGATGGAAAATTTAAAAACTGAAATCTTGATTTCTCAAGTAGATGAAATATTTGCCCGAAGCAAACATTTTGCAACGTGTACATGTCGAGTGTGTATTCGCTCCAATGATAAAAATTTCGAAAAACACCTCTGTATCTTTACAATTGTACATAAAAGTCTAAAAAAAAAATACGAAGAGTTTGCAGAAAAATTTTATATATCTTGATTAGAGAGAGATTCTCTGTCAGATATAAAAAAAAAGTAAAAAAGAGTAACACACATTCATCTTGTTCATATTTATATCGCATTAATATTTACGTAAGGCCTATATGTATAAAGAATATAAACAGAATAGTGTGATCGTGTCGATATTTATATAACATAACATTTCGGGGACCATCTCTACGTTATCGATGCTTATCAAGTCCCTTAACGGCTGCAGCATCTCTTTAACTCAACCGATCTTTATTTCTCGCGCATCGTCCGTTAAAAATCGCGTCCTTGACGCATGTGATAGACTGTTCACGAGATTCCTCGTTTTCCACTGTTCGAACGCGAGAGACCGGCCGCGGGTTTTCTCCTTTTCATTTCCCATCGCGTGAAATTAACCGCATTAACGGTACATATTGCAAGAAGGAGCTGGCAGACTGGTCTCCCACGATCTGTGAGAAACGAAGAATCTCGCGCTTCCCTGCATTAACAAATTTAAAAGGCGTTTCTCGCGCGTCGAGACCGGGGCCACACGTATCTCGATCGCGTATGTGACTCCGTTCTCTCTTCTCTCCAATAAAGCCTGTATATTCGTCATTTGCAGAATCTGAAAGACCAAATTCTTACCACGAACGTCTGGCTGGAGCACGTAAGTGTCGGATTAAGCGGGAGCTTCAGTTGCTGTGGAGATAACGCGCGAACTCGAAGGGAGTCCGGGAAGGGTGTGACCTAAATGAAATTAATAATTTCAGGAATGGCAGGACCATAAGTTCATGTGGGAACCCTTGGAATACGGGGGTGTTACCGAACTGTACGTGCCCAGCGAGCATATATGGCTGCCCGACATTGTTCTTTATAACAAGTACGTGATGTCGTGCGAATATCTTTATCTAGCCCGTTATTATCGCGCGCTCGAGAAAAAATAGGGGGAAAACACAGAAGAAGGAGAACACAGCGCAGCAACGCGGGAATGCACGACAAGGCACCGTGTGCAAAATGCGTTCTTTGGGTTATCGATTTCCTTTTTTCTCTCACACACACACGCTCTATCTCTCTTTCCCCTTTTCTTCTATCGCGCGCACGGTGTGCATTATGCCCGGCTGGGAAATTTTTTCACGAGCGCGTAAATTCCCCGCGTCTTTCTTTCGAGGTAACGAGCCCGCGCGTATTTTTAGCGCGGACGGGGAATACGGCGTGACCACGATGACTAAGGCTATCTTGCATTACACTGGCAAGGTTCTCTGGACTCCACCGGCGATTTTCAAGTCATCCTGCGAGATCGACGTTAGATATTTCCCCTTCGATCAGCAGACCTGTTTCATGAAATTCGGCTCATGGACGTACGACGGCTTTCAGGTGAGTGACAGTCGAGACCGGCTCCGAATCGACGAGTTTTGGAGAGTTATCGGCCCCGTCATTTGGACTTCGGCAGCTTCCGCCGAATCCGAGACAGAAGATGATTTTTCTTCATTTTATTGCACTATGAGCTCAGGGGCTTTTTTGTCGGCCCCTTCCTTTCTTGTCTGATTGAATACACTGGTCAGCGAATTTCGCATCACGTAATTTGCATCCTTCTTGAACTTTGACTTTCTTCTTCTTATGTTCAGGTGTTGAGACAGAAAATGACGAATGACAATGACGATAAAAAAATTATTTAGTCGCAGTTTAAGAAATGTAGAATATATTTTTATATTTTGTAAATCAATGATATGAGAGGCGTACGAAAGTAAAATCAACAGAACATATTTTTATTATATCCTTTTATCTTCATGTTTTACGCTGTAAAAAAGCTAAAATTTCTCTTAAATATTAAACATTATTAGACGGTTTTTAACCGGAAGAAGATATAGTTGATTATAAGAAATGACTGTAAATGACTGTACTGAAATAAGGCAGCAAACAATTCGGTTGAAAATATTTAACCAAATCTTAGTAATTGTTGCCGAATCTCTTCTTCAACGTGTAAGTGACGTTTAATGTCAAAAATGACTAACTTTAGTGGGGTTTCTCTCAGCGTACTGACCGGCGAAAATGTATTCCTCCAGATCGACTTAAAGCACATTAATCAAAACATGGGCGACAAGGTCGAGGTGGGCATCGACCTGCGGGAGTACTATCCCAGCGTCGAATGGGACATATTAGATGTCCCGGCGGAACGGCACACCAAATACTATCCATGTTGCCACGAGCCGTATCCCGATATCTTCTTCAACATAACGCTGCGTCGTAAAACACTCTTCTACACGGTGAACCTCATAGTCCCATGCGTGAGCATCTCGTACTTGTCGGTGTTGGCGTTCTACCTGCCGGCCGATTCCGGCGAGAAGATCGCGCTCTGCATCAACATTCTGCTGTCCCAGACGATGTTCTTCCTGCTGATATCCGAAATCATACCGTCTACATCGCTGGCGTTACCGTTGCTCGGCAAATATCTACTCTTCACGATGATTCTGGTCGGGCTGTCGGTCGTGATAACGATTATCATATTGAACGTGCACTACCGCAAACCGAGCACCCATAAGATGGCGCCGTGGGTGAGAACGATCTTCATAAGAAAATTGCCGAAACTACTCTTGATGAGAGTGCCCGACGATCTTCTCAATGATCTTGCCGCGCGCAAGATACACGGACGAGGGAAATCAGGCAAGCGGGACAAGTTCAGCGACGCGATCGCCGCGGCCGCACGGTCGTCCTCAATAGTGTCCTCGCCGGACTCTGCCCGCCATCAACGAATCGATGGTATGACGCTCTTTTCATAACGATCTTTCTCCCGGTTCGTATACATTTTTATTAATTATGTATATATTTTTTTTTCAATGCGTCACTTTGTATATTAAGTTATGTTACACTGGAAAAAATATCTAAAACATAAATTATTTATCATATAATAAGAATATCAATGTACACAGGTACTAGTAACATATTTATTTACATTAATATTCATATTTTATACTGAGAAAGAATATTTTTTTAAATATGAGAAAACATACATTTTTTAAAGACCGTGGCTTTTCGTGAAAACGATTGCTTATTCTGTATATTTCAATGAGAGGATCTCGATTTTTCAGTTAACATTTTATTAGCATCCACCGAATAAATATTCTTTTATTTTTTAGGTATTTTTCTTCACAATATTTTCCTTTTTTCACACGTCCGGTGTGATAAAATATCCGTGCTTCTCGCCGCGAATTACGAATCGAAACGACTGTGGTCACACGGCGGTTATTGGCATTTCAGGTTGCAACGGTCTACACAGAACGACCGCCCACAATCGATTTCTGGTCGGTAGTTTAGGATACAATGGGCTTCAAACGGTTATGTCCGGTCTGGATGAGTCTCTAAGTGACGTGACTCCACGAAAGAAGTATCCGTTCGAACTGGAAAAAGCGTTGCATAACGTTATGTTTATCCAGCATCATATTCAACGTCAAGATCAATTCAACGCGGTAAGCATCGTTAGATTCTCCAGTAGCGCAAATATAGAAAAAGTATAGAGAGAAATAAACATTGAAAACGTTACTCATTGTGTCACGGCAGGAAGATCAAGACTGGGGATTTGTCGCGATGGTCCTCGATCGGCTGTTCCTGTGGATCTTCTCGATAGCGTCCTTCGTCGGCACCTTGACGATCCTGTGCGAGGCCCCGGTGCTCTATGACGACACCAAACCGATCGACATGGAATACTCCTCCGTTGCTCAACAGCAATTCCTCCCGTCCGGCCAGGATTTGCTGGAGACTATCGTGTAGATGGCTCGTAGAACAATGTGATCTCTACTCATTAATACATCAATTACTCGATATAAAGGGAAGCGGCGAACTGTCTCTTTCCGAGTCTCTCCGCGCGACAAGCCATGCCGAGGAACCGCGTTTCACCGCGATCGTTCGTCACGCACATTGCCAATTATGCTCGTAATTTCAAGACTCCGTCGTATCTAGATACGCAATCACCAACGACATCTCCGAGGTCGAACGTTAAAATATTACACGCGGTTCTGGGAACTGGCCTAAAAGCTATGAAATGTTACTTAATCCCGCGGGAGACAATTCGCCGGCTTGCCTTCTGCGCGTAAGCGACACTTGCAACACAATTATATCTCGGAAAAGAAGAAAAAAGAGGAAAAAAATCGTATTTGTACTTATACTGCTGCTGTACGCACGATAGTGCGCAAAATAAGCGAGGGAGGAGGGAGAAAAATCATTCTTTGATAGTAACAACTATTTGATGTCCGCAGTGTTACGACGAAGCGACTTGGCGATTAGGTATCGTTTGTAAAACTTTTGGTAACGTTGGTTACGACGTACGACGCGTAACGGTGATACTTTCACTTGCACACCGAAAATTTAATCTGTATATAGGACACACATTTCATGCTCCAATTAATATCTTCCCGAAACAGCAATCAATTCATATATATATATATATCGCATACATATATATATATATATATGTAGCGTAGTTTTTTTCAAGAAATTATAAACAGAACTTTTTCCATTACGAGCGAAAACGCATACATATACACATATACATATATTCGAGTTTGTTCGATATACTGTACGTATTAAAAAGCGGAAATAAAGAAAAATTAAGAAAAGAGACCAACGAGAGTCGATGCTGGTTGTTATTCAGATAAATTAATAGTCAAATATATACATACTCGATACAAACGTTTCGGCCGTGAAGTCCGACTCTCTTCAGTGTCAAATGCAATATACATAGGTAAAAGATTTAATGGCGTCAGCATTAATCAAAAGTAACCCGATGCCGCACGATAGAGTTAAATTGATGGTTGTCTCCCCCATCAAAGCCCGAAGCAAGCCAACGTCAGTCACGGAACGTCGTGTCGCTCCTCAACGTCCCAGTTTGCATGATGAAGTCGAGTAACCGAAAGTTGTCGAAATTCTCAAAATTATGCAGAATAGATTCAAAACTACATTCAGAACTACATTCAAAATAAAGATCAAAAGCTGGAAGTTAAACAAGTCATTTCCCAAATAAGCACAAGCAAAACCGTACGATGTACTCACCTTAGAGAAAGAGAGAGAGAGAGAAAGAGACACACTTAACCGAATATATACTTTATTACGTCAGACATGTACAAGAGAGTTTTGCGACCTTATCAGAGCTAGGCCGAGCATTAACTTTCTTTCGCCTATCCATTGCAGATTTATGTTCGAATCGAGATTCATTCGAATTTTCATTCGAATGAAAATCCGCTCGAATTTGCCATTTGAATGAAAATTCACTCGAGTCTTCATTTAAATGTATTATTTATTCGGACAATGCTCGACTCTGGTGTCATATCGACCGCGTAAATGGTCATGTACGAACGAAACGGGGAGATCGAGATGTACGCCCNCCCCCCGGGCGCGGACTAGTTTAATATCTTAGTACCAAGTTTCAAAAATGGCGTATTTCCTCACTTGTGAAATAACAGCAGGTATGTGAGACAATCGAAACACAAACGAACAGGCGGGGATGCGTAACGCAATAAAGTCAACAAAGCTGACTTTCTAATATTACGTCTTCTCACGATGGAAACTCTTTCCCGTTAAAGTATAGATATGTGTAGAATAGATAAAAATGTCTCAAGCTGACATAATGTAATTGATACGATTAAGGCGATTTAATAATTCTTCTTAAATTATATGCTCATATTCGGGCACCGTAACGGACGATAAACTTAACAAAGCTGCGTATCGTCGCAACAAATAATGGAAACACCGCAAAATACTAAGTATAATGCGAACATTCAGATCGCACCGCTCGACGGATCAATTTGCAACCTTCAAGATATTCACCTGATGACGAGAGATGCGTGAATCGAGGATCTTTGATGTCGAATCGAATCTCATTTGTTATCTTCGAATCCGAATCGAATGAAATCGAATCGAATCGTTGGAACGTAACTTTTAATTAAGAACATATCATTGAATTCAACATGAAGATAGCGAGGAAAGACTTCGGTATGAGAGAAGTAACATTTTGTGCGATGTCAACTCATTAAAAAAAATAAGACATATATATTTAAATATTTCAAACAAAATTGTGTGTGATGTTGATGAAATATATTTTACTTAGGGTAGTGCAATAATTGAAACAGTCAGATGAAAGATCATAAATCGATTATTAATGTACTTTGAAGAGCGTTGACATTATCGATCGTTCACAATGAATACAGAAACTAAATGATTTTAGAAATGCACGGTTTCGTAAAAATATATAATACTATACTGCGCATCGTAGATACATATGCACATCTAGGAGACTTATATTAGAATAATTATAAATTGTAAAATTAATATTACGATATGTGTAAACTAAATTTGATATTTATATTAAATGATTTTTAATTTGATTAAATGATATTTATACTAAATTATATTTATACGAAATGATTACTACTAATGTCAGCACTTTTCAATTATGCACAGATCCATTTGATATCATGAAAGTTTATTTAAATACGCAAATTTTACTAATATCTCTCTTGCCGACGTCTTACACGTCGCTCTAAGCAGTTATTATTTTAATATTTCTGAAAAGGATCTTAATGTACACGAAAATAAAATTAGTCTTAAATCAAGAATAGATATTTCTCATACATAAGCAAGAATATTATAAACTTCGTAGAAGACTTTAGTACTTCATCAACATAATAATATGCGCGATTCGTATTCGAATCTTCTCGATTCGAGATTTTCGAATTATTCGGATTCGAATCAGAGATTCAGATTCGAATAGCAGTTCGCACATCCCTTAAAGACGCGGTGCACATTCAAGTGCTAAAGATAATATTCGTATAGATTCATGCATTATAGCTGCTATTAGCTATTAGTTGAGCATAGCTAATCCCTTGACTACATGTGAACTTCTTGGCAGTTATCGGAACGAAGATAGCGAAAACAAGAACACGAAAGTGAAGCGTTACGTCAACTTCTGGATTCTTCAAGATATACGAGGCGGCGTTTCTCAATCGAAGAAGCGTTGATATGATACTAATTGCCCTAATGACATTTAAACTTTAATACTAAGCCTAATACTGTTGGGGAGAAATGAGATTCGCTTCAGATAATTGCATTACGAGAGTTTACGATAAGAAACTACAACGAAAAGAGATTAGAGAAACGCTATCTTCGTACGTTTCCCGAACTCCCCGAGTTCATCCGCAATTCACCGTGGAATATTCTTGGTTCCGCCATCCAAGTTGATACACTAAACAATGTCACGCGTGCAATTAAAATAAGAGCAACGCCGATTTCACCCCACTCACGTGAATTATTACAGATTTCGTAATGAAGAATTGATAACCGATAAATGCACATATCACGGCCGCTGAAGGTTATCACGGAACGGATAATCCCACGCACAAGTTCGTCTTTGTTATATTTTCGTGGAAATATTTGCAGTCTTAACATACAGATCGATAAAAATATATCAGATAATGAACTTGTAAGCTTAATTCTCATATATCTCGCGATATCCCGCGATATATCTCGTAATGTCTAAATAGGAAAGGATATATCAAGAATATATTATTATAAATGTATATACATATATATATTATATATTATTCTTGCGATTTGAATTAAACTATTAAAATAATTGTTATTTAAAATATAGTTTGTGCCTTGTGTGGAGGGTACCAATGACTGTTCTTAAACGTAAAATCAATCGGTTGAGATAGAACGGAAACGCAGGACGTAAAGATTCACTCAGTAAATACACTGCACCAACCAACAACAGAGAGCACCTTGATTGGGGGGAGAGATACACGGGAGCTGAGGGGGAACATGAGAAACTAGGAAGTTAATGTAAGAAATGCATACCTGTAGCAGTGATCAACGTGAATTTTCCAACTTTACGCCAGGAAGGTCGGGTGTCAGTTGTGTTTTGAATATTTGTCACGGGCGGTGGAAGGAAGGAAGTTCACTAGGACTTCCAAGAGGTGGGAAGGAGAGATAAGGCGAAAGAGTCGGAGAACCTGCACAAAAGAAAATCGGCCGATATAACACGACGAAACGGCATTGCCTGTAGACATTGAAATTTGAACAGCGCAAACCAGCTTCAGCTCAGCGTCGATGTTTCGCCGAGAGGAAAAATATCGGAGAAATAACAAATACTCGGTGGATACTAATAACTTATTACTAATACACGTGTTTTTACACTGAGGAAAATTTTCTTCCAATGAGGAAATATATATTTTCTTAAATCCGTAGCTCTTCGTGGAAACAATTATTACACTTAAATAAAGTGATAATTCAGAGATTTAAGTAAATATATGTTATTAGTACACACTGAATAAATATTTTTTTATTCTTTAGATACCTTGTCTCTCAGTGTACATTGTTCAAAACTACCACCGTCCTTCACGATATCAAGATTCGGAGTTTAAACGCGGAGTAGATCGGATTGCAATCGTTGAACAGAACGACGTTGCAAAATAGATCTCCCGCAAGGATCTCTCTTCTGCTGCCCCCAGTGCTTATCAATAAACATTTCGATAGTACGCACCGTTGTATGAACGGAGACTTTCTAAGTAAAAACTAAGAATAACTTACGCGCTCTTAACAACGCTATATAGACGAAATTTTCGAGTCTCTGCATTGTACGCAAAAATAGATTTCGTTTCGTGATAATACCGCCTACGCATGCGCTCTATGTATTCGGTTTGGCTCGCGGAGAGGCACAGGTACACGCGTTTGCGCTCCTGCGTGCCAAGTTTCTTTTTTTCTTCTCTTTTTTTCTTCAGGATCCGGATCCTTATACTTTTCGTAGAACCTATCATCACTTATTCTCGGCAAAATCCGTGATTTGTGGTACAAAAATAAAAATACACGAGAGCGACATTTGTCGACACGGCGAGCCGGGTAGCTTTCGTTGCTCATATACCGCTTCTTACTTTTTGCTTCGGCCCGCAATCATGAATAACGGACTCTTCGAAGAAACCATCACTGCGAAGCAATACAACTATACTCGTTGAAGATGCACGTCAAAATATATGCGTGCGGGGGAACAACAGTTTACAAAACAGCTTACAAAGTTTACAAAACGCATTTCAAAACATGAAGAAAAATTAGGCCGGTATTCATAGTAAGATTTCTATTTAAGACTGTCTTAAGTTTACATTCGGATGCTTCGTAGCCAATGAAATGAGCCGTAAAGCATCTGAAGATAAGCTTAAATATAAGATCCGACTATGAATACCGGTCTTAGAGAGCCTCTAGTAAGAGAAAGACGCCATAAGACAGAGTCATATGAGCAGCTACTCTGCGAATAGCTTCACTATTCCTGTTCGTATCGATACAGTGGTACGTTTGTGTTAGAAAGCATTAGCCAGTAGCTGCTGTGTGATGCTGTGTGATGCTGGCATGAGCCAGGCTATGTACAGAATACATAGTTTACGTGATCTTGTTGACGCCTTCCTCCTACTAAAAGCTCTCTAAGGAGACTAATTCGAGTTGAATTTACCTGAAATTCGCTATTTTAGCGAAACAGAGCAACGAAAGTGTACCGGACATTTCACGTGTCCAGATGTTCGATCATGAATCTTTCTCTCTCGGCGTGAACAAGTGAACTTTTTTTACTTGAAAGTGTTCACTCTTCTCGAGTTCACGCTAGAGGAAGAGATTCATGGTCGCTTTCCAAATCTTTCATGATAAAATTGCACGCACGCACGATCCTTAATTTACCTTACCCTGAAGATCTTTCTAAGGAATGCGATAAAACTCTTATATAATATATTAGACCGCTAACACACACCACAATGATTACGAAGCCTAAGATGGTACTCCGTCATATTTCAGAAAAGCGAGGAGTGTTCACCGTCTTGCAGAGAACAGTGAGCCAACAAAATTTCTCACAGAAGTACCATATGAGATTTAATTGCTGGTTAAAATTTTGGACGAAAACGAAGATAATCTTCGTTGAAAAATAGAGGAAAATGTAATTTCCTCCGCAAATATGGCCGCGATATCTTCAACCTCTGTCAATCCTTATTCTGCGATTTCTGTGTGTATAAACAGTCTAATATACGATATGAAAGCATGATTAGCGTTTGGAAATACTGTCGCTTTCATATTCTACACGACTTATACACTATTTCGCTGAATTTCGCGCTAAATCGATTAGAACCTTCGACAATTTTATCATCCTCCACGTATCGCAACACGATGATCTTCTCGCAAAATGCGAGAGAGTCGTATGTGGCATAATATAAACTCACGTCTTCGTCGTGATTGCCTATCCTTCCGCTGCTTTTAGTAGAATAAGCGAAGGTTATCGAATAACCATTTACGGAATTATACACAGTATCCGTATTATACATAAGGCGGAAACTTGTGTATGCAAACGTAGTCTTGGAATCAACCTTTCCAAGTGCCGATGTAATTCTTGCAGTTCGGGCAAAAGTGATGAACGCTCATGAAGGCGCTCATGCAGTATGGCAGACACGAACAGAGGCAACATCTGAAATAAAAAGGAAAGAAAACTTATCGATCCTCTAGTTACGCAACTATTTGTTATAAGTAGAAACTGTTGATCACGTGTATTTTTTCGAGATCAAGTAGCAATAAGTATTTATCATGACGCACATTAAGCAGGAAATGATTAATACATTTCCAATAAAAAGCAAAAAAATACGACAGAGACATAATATTGAAACGGGATTATCTCACTCACCCGAGTAAACAGAGCACGATGCAACATATGTGAGCGCTCGGCTGATGATCCGATATCGTGGTAGTTTTGATATCAGCGAGACACGACGGACAGGACATTTTCACGGGATTCGGGCCCAAGGTGTACGCCACGTGTTGATGAATGACCCGCACTTCCGGCTGTGATACGGAACTCGGTTCGGGATTGAAACGCGGCTGCGACGTCGATTGACTCGTAGCTGGGTACATTGCCGATGCGGTGGGCATCGTTGTTTGATTCGGCGGTTGATTATCTGAAATCATACCGTTCGTACGGTTTATCTCGAATACAAGGCTTCATTGTAAGCTGTCACAAGCGCATCATCCCTCGCAAATACAAATTTGCGTGTTCACATATTGACAGCCGGTGTTTCGTTGCGCCGGAACACCGTGTACAGCCAGCGAAATTTTGTTGACATCGAGAAGCGACGTAGAGGAGGACATGGTATTATGGCTCCTCTTAACATCTATTTTGGTAGGCAGCCAATTCTGTTCTTCTTCGACCTATTAGGCAGTGTCACCACATACTTTTTTATAAATAAGTAGTGATTTGAAATAAGTAATAAATATTCCATAACTTTAAGTCTAGAATCGGTCGAATACTTCGACAAACGTAATCGTTGAGTTTTTATCATAAAATATTAATTATAAACAAAGTTATTGTATAAAATGTAAACGGGGGCCACAATGCCACTTTTTCCTCTATTATTTGTTTACAAAAATTACTATACTCGAGCAAAATGTGATATTATGATTACAATTGCTGGTTATCTAAATTTGAAAACAAATTTTTATTTTTGTACTTTGCGTTGAGGATGGTCCAAACTTGTGACCGAAACGTTAAGTATTTATTAAATATTTATACGATAAACATTTGTAATTGATTATTTTATTAAGCTGTTCGTGTTATCACCAACGAAATTGGCTCTTATTTGCCTTTTATTTCTGTATTGATTATGATACAATGTTTTAAATGTATTTTATTCTATCGATTGTCAATATGTTAAAGTAGTTGGTCTGTAAAGTGCAGGATTTTCAATGGATTTTCAATTAGGGAAATTTTTCATAAGTTTACTATTTATTAAAACGGACGTATTTTCCTATAAGGGGCCACTCCACAGTTACGTTATATCACAAGGGGAAAAGTCTATTAGATTGCGTAACGGTCTGTGATAGCAGGGAGAGAAGAATAAAGGTCATGGAACGTCATATTAAATAACAACTTATAAATATAAATATGTGTTATCTATTTTGTTTGCATTCGTGACATATTTGATTACAATGGGTAAAAATATTTAAGCTTTGATATAATTTTGCATTAATAATCAAAATATTAATTTTCAAATATTTATTCTTAAAAAAAAACGGTCTGAAAAGTGTCAAGAGACACGTATATCTCACATACATGGCATCGGCATCGGCATTGCCGGGCCTCCCACAGGATACGGCGGGTTAGCGACCGATTGCTGCACAGGACCTCCTCCCGTATTGGCTATGGCTTCCTCGTAAGACGGCGGAGCCGTGGGTAGAGGAGCCGAGAGTTGCTCGAAGCATTTCGGCATTTTTCTCTGAAAGAAGAAATGGAAAAGTCTCAAACGACCATAATGTTGCAGCCATCTATGTCGGTGCGCGTTATCGTTCGGAGGATTACCGTTCTCACGCGAGCTCGATAACGTCACCTTTGCAACGTAAAACACGGTTGGGTGGGTATAAAATAAACGTGTCGCCCGCGTTTTGCGATTACGACAATTGGAGAAATTACGACACGCCCAGCCGAGAATTTCTCAGGCACGCGCGTCGCGGAGAGATGAACACAGATAATAGACATTTTACCTGCCTTTTATGCACTGCTCGGCGGCACATTTCCGCTAAAAAAGTCAGGTGAACAGGCTTACCGCGGATTTATCGCGACTTGATCGGCGGAATGCCGAGTAACCGCTAAATGTAAAAATTACTTGTTGTGATTTTCTTGTATTACATATAGTCGGACACTTGTCTCTCTTTTCGGCGCGCCTAAGATGCTTCCCCTTCGCTCTCGTCAAGCGTAAAAATGAAATCTGTAGCTGTAGAGGCGGAATCCTTAATTAGGTCGAAACGCGTTTGTCCGCCGAATCACTTTCGAGACCGTTTCCTGATCGAGCCATCTTCCGCTTGAAAACAGTTCATCGCGACAGAACTAGAAAGGTGAACCGATCGATATCACTCTCACAATCGAGAATTATCGATAACGTAATATCGCCGATAATGTAATATTTTTAATTCTCCGTGATGCTGTAACATGCTATGCTGTAACATATTATACTGCTGTACTGTACAACTTTCTTTCTTCTCAGAGTGACTTTCTCCAAACTTCCATTGATCTCGAATCGACAATTAACTGGCAGAATTGCCAACAGTAATATGTTCAACTAAATTTGAAAAAAAAATCCTTTCTAACTATAACTATATGATCGCATAGGTAAAAACATTATAGTCAGGAGAACGATTTTTCTAATAAGTATTACTATAATGTCAGCAATAACTTTACTATTATATGTTTTTTCATTGCATCATTATATTATTATTCAAATCAGCCTGCTACAGTGATTATTAGGAACTGCAAAATGCAAGTTCATTATTCTCAGGGTCACCCTCTTACTCTGCGTCTTACTTTTGCGTTAGTTATTATTATCTCATTATTATTTATCACGATACATCATGCGTATCGTTATATGTCATCGATCGTTTTCTAATATTTCTTAGCATTTTTCATTTTTATTCCTATATTTTTCTTCTTTTTTGCGAATGTCTGTATCTTTGTCATGTGTTAATTCTAATTGTTGCTCTCACAGGATTTAGAGCATAATAAAATTGATTCTATTCGATTTTATATTTTAGGTAAGAACCAAAAGAAGATATAGTTCAGACCGAAAATGACTAGAACTTTAATGGGATTTCTCTCGGTATATGTAATTTGTTGTCTGACAATTACTAATAAGTAAATACCTCTGTGAATGTTAACACAATATACAAGGCATTTAACACACAGAGAAAAATATTGTCGTATTGCTAAAATAAGCAATCAGTTTATTTTTCTCTTTTTAAAAAAAATGATTATATTAAACAAAGAATATTCTTTCGACAATATTAAAATATATTCATCATAAATATTAGAAAAGCTCATCATCATTTATTCAAAAGAAGAACTTGTTCAGTTAAAAATATTATAAACTTTATGAAGAAAAAGTCAAATTCGGTTTATTGGAATAAGTAAACCGAAGTTTTAATTTTAGTGTTTTAATTTAATATTTTTGATTGAAGTACTAAACTTATACTAAGATTCAACATATATCTTAAGTAAATGATGAACTTTTGATATACTTGCGGATACATAACTTTATGAAATACTCGACACAAGTAATATTTACTTGAATACAGTATGCATTTTTCTGTGTGTACTTGACTGATATCACTTTTAAATACAGATTGTAAAGAGAAAACACGAAAATTTCTTGTTTCAACAACAAATAACTTTCATCTTCCACATTAGCAATTCTGCCGGCCGAGTTAATTGTCAATTAGCTTAAAGTGACTTCCACCAAACTCAAATTAAACTAATCGATGAATAATAATAAAATTGCCAACTCCAATTTCCATTTTTTGCCATTCAACAATAATCGACAAGTTAATCATTTTTACCTGCGTTAGCAAGACAGAGCAGATAACATTTGACTGACGGCAATTTCAAATTAGATCCATTAGATCTCTAGATTAAAATTAGCGATTAGAGTGATTGGATTTGATGAAAATCATCCCTGATCAGAAGTTGAGAGAGTCACCCTTAAATGTCTTCACTCGACTCGCGACCCGTCGTTTTCACGCGCCGGAACGTTGCGATTGGATTGTCCTGGGTAGGGCATCGACGCATCGAACGTCGTGACTTCGGGCACAGGATTGCATTAACATTTCAATATAAATGACGGACGCGCACACACCTATGTGCTATCGCGCGAATGGAAAGTTGGGCGGATGTTAAGTAACGGAGACACAGTGTATATTTGCCGGCAGTACCGTATGTAGAAAGCTCAGCTGGTGTCGCGCAAGACTGGATCAACAACAGGTGTGGTAAGCTTTCAGCTTTTTGCTCCAAACATTAAATTGTAACATAATTTCGCATGAAAAGCGTTTCCAGCGTTTTACGCACTCTATTTAAGCGTTATTATACCATCTTTCGGTAGAGTGGAGAAACGCATTTTATCAGAAATTATGTTACATTTTGTCGCCTAGGATAAAAGGCTCACTAGGTCTGTTGTACGTCCGAACTAACATCCTGTGCGAAGATTACGATGCTCTATTTTAGGGCCGGATTATTTTATCGAGTGCGCGAGTATTGTGCACATTGCACGTCGCTCTACACAGTGGTCTAAGATAGAGATTTTTTTGGCTAAAAATTATTTCTTAAAATTTCACCTCAAACTGATATAAATGTCATTATTTTTATGGCCAAATAATCATAAATTGCAATCATTTATTATTATTTTATCACTCAGTATCACTCAGTATCACTCAGTAGGTAGCTCTCAGTCATATCTGTCACGCTTTCAAAATTGTATTGCACATTACATTTATTTGAATAGTATATATACGTGTATGTATGTGTGTGTGTTTAATATACAGTTAAAAACATGCCTCAAAGTAAGCAATTTCAAATTTTGTGATTGTTTTTCTTATTTCTGAAATGAAATAGTCAGATTTGTGGTTGAAATAAAAGTAAACTTACAATGGAATAGTGTCTTGCCAAGAATTTAAGACAGGTTTTAAGAGTTTCTGCAAAAAGCTAAGTTGTGTAATAACCGTCAACATTTATATTACTAAAATCTGTTATATTTATTTGTGCCTTTTAAAAATAATTAACTTTAATCATTTGAATCATTTGACCTTCTTAGATCCGTATAACTTGTTCTATCGGATTTTGTATGAGGTTTGGAGAGAATCTAAAAATAAAAATACTCGACTAATTGATATAAAATTCTTCGTTTTCAAGAATATCGTAAAAGAAAAAATGGAGCACCGTTTAGAAGAAATTGTAAGATAGAATAAGATTAGGATAAGATAGGATAAAATCAGATTATCTTTTATTTATTTAAGAAGAAAGTGAGATAAATGAGTTCAGTCATTAACAGAAAGTTATTCTTCTTCTTTAAAAACATTTTCTGTGCGAAACAAAATTTTTATCAAGATTCCGAATTTTGGTCAATAATTTTTACCTTTAACCACTGTGCGTTGCAACTGAATGAACGCGACATGCTCGCGGAATTCCTTGGGGTGAAATTTCACTCGAAAAGTAGAGTGACCACCGAGTCACTCGGGTTCGAGTGATTTTCCACTCGAGCGAACTCTCCACGTCTGAATCGTCGAGTGAATATTTTCACTCGAAACTGAAACGTGAATATGACATATTCCATTGTCACAGAAACAAATTCACACTAATCGATTGAAATGTTCACTCATTCGGAGCCAAATCCGTTCTAAATTCGAGTAAAATATTTGCTGCGTTCAGGAGAAAAAGCAGCTAACAAGCGTGCTGCGCTTTGCAACTGTTGTAAGATTTTCCGCCGATGACAGTGGTTTTTGCAACATATTTATTATGCGGTCGCCATTTTTTCAGCATAATTTGAATACGCTTGATTGCTTGGAAAACAGTTGCAAAGATACTGACAGCGTAGAGCAAAGCGTTCATTAAGCTACTTTTTCCGCTGAAATATTGGCCTGTCATATCGGCTATTTTGGATCCTTAAAATTCTGATCTCTGATTCGTAATCAACGATCTGAAAAATCCCCGGATACCAAAAATTTCGGTCCAATGTGAAAATTCGTGACACAATGGGTTAAGACACCTTGTGTCTCGATTTTAAACATTCCGTTGTCCGGGACGCAGCCATTCACTCTTGCGACTTCGAGCGATCCAAACGATCGCTTTGAGTGAAAATACCGTCGCTTTTCACTCGTTTTGAGTGAGATTACCCCTTCAGGAAATTTAGAGAATGCAAAACTCGGCACAATCCGGGGTCGCTCGCGTCTATTCCCACCGCGACTCACGCATTTTGTGTGGTTGCTTATGCGACTAATTTAATTCACCTGCCTCGTTAATAGATCATCGCCCAAAAACACGGGGATTTGCGAAACGCTCGCCACGTGATTCTGACAACGGACGATAAAAAAGAACGGCGCGGCGAAGGGGTTCTTTCTTTCGCACCCCTGACGCAAAAGTCATAATTATTACCCAGCCGGTGTACTCCGCGCAAAATCGCGGAATGCGTTTTCGGTTGACGCAAGACGCGAGCGTTCCAGCTGAGGAACGGCTCGTCGCTCGGCCAGATTTCCTTTCACTAATCAACGTTTCCGCGTTACGGTTGCGCCGTGGATTACCGTATGATTACGCAGCCGACTCCAGCTGGTTCTGCGTGTGCAAGTACATCCGAATAACGGTATACCTTTTCGGAAGGGTAGGGAGGCAGGGGGAGGAAAAAGAAAACGAAAGCATATGCAATGGCCGTCCCCGAGTTCGGGGAACAATTCGCGAACTCGTCGGTCCTTGCGTTTCGTCGTCGGCGAACGAGGTCCAGATCGTGCACAGCCTCAGGACACGGCCTCGTCACGGCGTCGAGATCTCTCTCGCGAAATTCGTGCGTACATTCGCCCGAGAACGTTACTCGTCGGCACGAGTGACGACTCGCTCGAACGCGTTGACGGGTCGCGCGAGGACGAGTGACGCAAAAGAGAAGAGAGAAGCAACGCGCGACATAGCTTACCGTGTGCGAGCCTCACGAGTCGAACCACTGGCTGCGTGTAGTCCACGTAGTCCCTCGAGAGGGTTTAGGTTATCGTCTGACTGCCAGGCGACGGCGGATCGGGTGACGACTTCCCGACGAGCGTCACGAGAAACTGTCCGACTGTCCACGAGGAACGAGGCGCGTCGACGGTACGTGTGACGCTCGCACATATGTGTGCTCCGCGCGCGCGACGTGAGGACGACAGAGAGAGAAAGAGAGGGAGGAAAGGAGAAAGAGAAGGCGCGGAAGGAAAATTTCGAGGAGCGTTGTACTCTCGCGACCGCGAAGCACAGGATGCAACCGATGCGAAAACAGCGACGAGACTGGCGCCTCGCAACCGCCCGAGCGTCACGTGACGCGCCTCCGCCAGTAGTAGCGGCCGAAGCGCGCGCGCGCCGCCCGTTTGAAATTTGTTCAACAATCGCGACGAAAATCGTTTGAATTCGCCCGATAATCGCGATTAAATGCACGTCCTCGGGTATTCGTGCCTCCCGAATGATGCGTAATTCCGGGGGAATGAACGGGAAATAATTCTTCATGGGCGCGACTCGTTATGATTATCTATCCCGCGGTGATTAATCCTCCGCTCGGTTCGGAAATAATTACTACGGGACGTCGTTAGTACATCGTTAAAGTGTATCTTGGCGGGTATCTCCGGGACACTCTTGAGATTTTCTATTTTCCACAGTGGAAATATTTTACTGGAAGTATAGCGAAATTTTGCTGAAATTTATTTGAAATTCTCCATGAATTGATCCTATTTCATTATTATTCGATCAATATTTCGGTAAAAATTCCGCTTTCAATTAAATTCAGTATATTTCATATCTAATATTTAAAAAAAATTTGTTGTTTCTTTTCAACGATATAATTTAACTTTCCTTATATTTTGCAGTATTACGTTAAATTTTATAACGAAAATTATAATTCATTTTGAAATATATTCAATAATTTTTCAATAACTTTCATCTCACTTTTCACCAAATATTTCATAGTACTTTCATCAAAATATTTCCATCAGGGTCGTGTTATTTTGTACAACGTGATACGTGATACGTGCAAATTAGAAAAGTAAATTAGAAAAGTAATCTTAAAACAACTCACACGCTGCTTTGGATGAAGAGAAAAAGAGGGTTTCTGCAAAACGAACGCAGTGACCATTATATATACTGCATCCATATTACAAATTTTATTCGCACATAATGCAAGTATTACTAAATTAAAAAGGTACGATATTCTGTTTTCGTGATCTCTTTGCTTTCTGTTCTGCCATCTGCAGTGGCGATGATATCAAGCCCATCAAAATACAGTCGGCTTCTAGAAGAGTTATATCTGTGGTAGCGCCTAAGAACCTCGAGGACAGCTCCAAATCCTTGATCCTCAGACGAACCTTTGATCCTCTTACATAATACCTAAAAGGGAAAGGCAAAGACACACGTTATAATATTCGACAATAATAAAAATATAGCAGTATTTATATAAATATTATCAAAAGCATAGAAAAAAAAAACACCCAGACACATACTGTCCATTTTTAACAGGTTTTTGACAAACACAGTGGAATTTCCATCCAAAATCAATGTACAAGTCGTCATCAACCACATGATATATCTCACCAATTACAAATTTTCCTTCAGGGTCTCCCAACTGTGGAAAGAGACATAAATTAACATTGCACACTTGCGAAACAATAAACAAATGCTTTGCGATAATTACACACATACGTACACACTGTAAACATCATGTCACTTACATCGACAAATTTGGAGTGCCGAATCAAGGAAGCAAACGTTTGCGGTATCTCCGGTTCTTTTTTGTCGATGGACGAGAATTTCTCGTAACTTCGCGCAAAGCCACTTAATTTTACCTCAGTATTTGATGCCCCCGCATTATCTTTCGTTTCTATTTGCGCCTCTTTTTCAACAGCGGGAGACTCCGGAGATGTCGGGCTCTTGTCTCCTTCTGAAGAATCGTTTTTCGTACAGAAACATCTCGGTGATATCGAAGCCACTTTGAAAGCACTGAGAGATCGTAAATGTGTCAGTATTCTGTCGAGACGATGTATCTTGTTCATGATGGCACCTCAAAGTTTGTATCGTGATATTTAGTACTTTCACTGATTCCTCGATGGTATCCGAGAGAAGACTGAAAGAGCTCGTACGATTCAAAGAGGTTATGTAAAACTACTGAAGTATTATCAGCTGTTTCCTCTTCTAAGAAGACACTGTCGCGATCGGAGACACTATTTGATCAAAAATTAAAATTGTATAAATTCAACGCTTTCGCTTTAAGGTAAACGTGATTAAAGAGATCAATGAAAAATAATTAATTTCTGATTTTTCTTTCGCTGAGACATATATTTATCAGCGTCTTCAATTTGGAGCTCTTTTATGTGGGAACTTTAAGGTTATGGTATATTGATTTTCGTAACGTTAATAAATGGTTTTAAATGATTTCTACCTTTTTCAGTCTGTTCCAAAGGAGAATCGAGGCATTGTAATGTTGTTGCCTCCGGTGATATTAAATAATACATGCAGAAACATCTCAACGTCAGCCGTTGTGAATCAAATAATTAAACTATCTCGATTGAGAGTAGTGGATAATAGCGAGATAGGAAAGCAGGCTATGATGGAGGGTAGACCACCGCGATGCATACATATCTACAACAAAAAAGGAGTTGGATTAATCGGTGAGACAGAAAAAAGATACGCACATGACATTATTTTTATGCAGAAACTAATGGTGCGACGTTAATACAAATTATACAGGAGATATGATCTTAGTGGCAATAAAAGGGGAGAAGAAAAAAGGAATATTAGTTGGGTTGAAACAACATCAACGTTGTAAGGTTCCCAAGTTCGACAGTAACAATTTGGTTCTCATAGATGACAATGGAACGCCTTTAGGTACAAGGATACATGTGCCTATTCCACACATACTAAGGACAAAAATGAAAGAGAAGACGCACAGTAAAGGAGCAGACTACACTAAATTGATAGCAATTGCTTCTAGATTTGTATAATCTGTTACTATTGTAACATGAATGTGTCGTAAAATAATAAACTATTCATAAAGTAATTAAGATCAAAAGAAGTCTATACAGTCCATGTTTACTTATCAGCGGTAAAAGAAGTCCTATTATTATTATTCGAGTGTGCTACTGCAAATTAAGATCTATTTCATCAGTTGTTGAGTCATACTGTGTGAGAATAAAAAGGTCTTGTAATCTGTCATTTGAGACATACTGTTCGAAAATAAAATAAAACTTTTTTCAATCTGTTAGTGAAATACAGAATTGAAGAGTAAAAGGTCTGTCTAATTTGGGAAAATAACGATTTTTTCGTTTTTAAGATTTATTTTCCTCGATTATGACAAATGGACACAATTTAACAGACTTTAATTTCAGGAAAAAATTATGATAATGACACGGTTCAAGAAATATTTTACAGCTTGAAGTTTCTAATTTACAATTTTATCATCGAATGTAACATTTATTTATTTTTATGATAAGACGTCAAGCTTTCAAATGCTTCTCAAATGATCTTAACACTTTCACAACCGCTGACACCAATGTGGTGTCATGGGCAGGCCAGTCGTTGTATGCCGGTGACACTCATGTGGTGTCATTAGTAGGCCAGTTNTGGTAGGCCAGTCGTTATTTGCCGGTGACACTCACGTGGTACCATTGATAGGCCAGTCGCTATTTGCCGGTGACTCCCACGTGGTACCAGTGGCAAGCCACTTGCAAAACTTTTCTTAGCACGTCATAATAATGTTAATTGTTTCATGAATTTACGTAAAGTTTTTTCTTCCAAAATATTGCCGGCCACTGGCGACGTTTCACTGCGCTAACATGCGGTTGTGAAAGTGTTAATATCGTTATTTTTACCGAAGTTACAGCATATTACATTTTGTCTATTTTTTCAGGATAGAGTAAAGGACGTTTGATCCGCCGTTGAGTAATACTACTTGAAAAGTGAAGGTACGGCTGATCCTATTGTTTGGTCATATCACATCTTAACGGGTCGGAGTAGTACTAGTAGTAGTACTCAATGGCAGATCAGATGCATCTTTCTACAGGGTTTTTCAACAAGAGTGTTCGAAAAAGTGAGGTTAGTTTTCACATGTATTTCATTGACAGCGACAAGCAAACTAGACAGCTGACAAGTAGAAAGTAGTAAGTTTTTAACCATGGAAAGATACACATTACAGCAACGCATTCAGATTGTTCAATTGTATTATGAAAATGGACGATCAAATAAAAATGTATTTCGTAAATTGCATAAATTTTACATTCCACAACATCGTCCATCTGAGCAACATATTGGTCGAATTATTGCCAAATTTGAGTCCACTGGATCAGTAGAAGACGTAAAAACAACAATACGCTGTCGTCCAGCCAGATCACAAGAGAATATTGATGCTGTCAGTGAGAGTGTTGCCGATGACCCAAACACATCGATTCCACGCCGTTCTCAAGAATTGGGAATCTCTAAAACATCATTATGGCGTATTTTGCAAAAAGATTTGTCTTTAAAAGCATATAAAGTGCCATACAGCTCGAGAAACATTGGATTTACTGAATCAGACCTTTCCGCAGCACATAATTTCCAGAAACAGTGATGTCAATTGGCCACCCAGATCATGTGATTTGACGCCCCTGGATTATTTTCTTTGGGGCTACGTTAAAGAGCAGGTCTATAAGAATAATCCCACAACGATTCCGGAATTGAAAGATGAAATTTGTCGTGTCATCGGTGAGATAGAGCCCACAATGTGTGAACATTTGATTAAAAATTTTGACAAAAGAATCGTGGTCTGCAAAAAATTACGAGGCGGTCATTTGTCCGATATCCTTGTGCACACATAAACTTACTACTTCCTACTTTACAAATTAAAAAAAATTAATTTGATTCCAATGATAATTGTGTGTTTTATTTAACTTTAGTTTCGAACACTCTTGTTGAAAAACCCTTTACTTTATCCTGAAAAATAGACAATATTCAACGAATTATAACTTTGTAAAAAATGACGATAGTTTAAAAAGCATTTTGCAGCTTAAAGTTTCTAGGTTTTAACCAAAATAATTTCATAATTTTGTTGTTGTTTTTTTTGTCATAATATATGGAGTTAAACGAAAACTGACGACCGCTCAATTTTGATTCCAATATTTTAGTTGATTTGTTTATATTTTAAAATTAATTTTATAAAAAATTTAATAAGTGCATTTTAAAGAAGGTACTTGAAGTTTTCTATTCATTTCTCGATGATTTTCGTACATCAATCCGTTCACTCTTTATGAGAGAGTTCACGCTTTTATAATTAAAATCAGGACATTTTTCGGCTTAACATTAAATAACAGTAAAAAAATCGCACCGTAATCTAATTACATGCACATTAAAGAGGACAATTCGTACTTTCAAATGAGCTAAACCTTATTTGTATAAGATTTTTTTTTTATGTAGTGNATGTAGCATCAAAAAAATAAATTTTACAATCTACAGTAGAATTAAAAACTAGAGATTCAAAGTTGTAAAATACTTCTTGAACCATCTCATTATCATTATTTTTTTCCGAAGTAAAAGCCTGTTGATTTTTTATTATTTGTCACAATCGAGGAAAATGAATCTTAAAAATTAAAAAATCTCTTTTTTTATTCGAACATGAGAAATAGAAAGATTCAATCAGCAGTAACTTCAGCAAAAAATAGTGATAATAAATTAGTTTGAAAAGCATTTTACTCAGATTTTAACATATCAATGTATAATTGAGTAAAAATTTTAATTTTGGCTTTTTTATACTATTACCTAAAAAATTCTGTACGAATAATAAATATTAAAAAGCAACCAAAATTTGTATTCGATCACATTTTTTTTACAAGTTCTCATATCTATTTATATTTCCAAATGACGACAGACTGAAAATTGTCGTTAATCGAAAGTGGCGTAAATTTTATTAAGCTGATGGATGTTTCTTAAAAACATTTAAATTAAAACATTAATTTAATCAATCAGTATTCAATGCGACTAAAGACTCTACGAAATCTATCAATGGACCAATCTTATTTGGAAGTAATTTATTTTCCTTTCTACAAAACACTTTCTTTTTAGAAAACGATTGTGTGTGCATTGGAAAATACATAACGATATTTTTTTTTACAATGAAAACTTAAACTTACAACACACGTGCAACAAATAATAAATATTACTTTACAATGCTTTTTATTCGCCGTGTATATATAAATAATATAAATAAATTTCTAGATTCCCAATTAATGTTCCGTATACTTAAAATTACAAAAAAGGACCGCCACGTCGGACGATCGTGAACGATTGCGTTTACCTTAAAATTGCGTTGGCACACTTTATTCTTCTCTCGCGCAGTACATCCTTACAGAAAGAAAAAAAAACTATTCAAGACGCATAGTCGCGCATAATAGATTCAGTGTACGCCTGTGTATGTGTGAGAAAGAGATTGTTTCTAGGTTTGATATATACGCCTTACGCAATATTAGTTTCAGTCTTAACTGTAGGAAGCATAATGTACATCTCGAAAAAATCTACTTTCCTGTTAGAATTGCATGCTACGACTATATATATCGAATCGGACCAAAAATCTACGAAAAGGAATCAGCCTACAGATAATGTTTCGCACTCATATATCTCTACAGATCATTGGTTTCCTATGAAAAATATGCATCCTTTGAATTGTGTAACGATATCCGCATATGTGTATATATATATATATATATATATATATATATATATATTATACATATATATATATATATATGCTAAGTGAGGAAAATCTCTCATGAACCTTAGAAACGTGACGTAAGATCTTCGACAGTCGACCGGAACAATTTACATTCAAGCGCAATTCAAGTGCAGATATTAATGAGATATACACAAACAAGAAATTCCGCAGGCTACATCGCTTACATAAAATGAGAGATATCATGATCTGCGATGATTTTATTCAACGGGCGAGCGGAAGTCTGAAGTATACGTCCTACAACGCCTATACCGGAGATCTAATGTAAATCTCGCCCCTGCGCATACCAACAATATATATTTTCTGGCACAATCAAAATTCGTGGCGTTGTCAGTCAAGTTACTCCTGGAACTGTAACTTCATATAGACGTATATATAAACGTTCTATTTCTATGTGTATTTATCTATATATGCCTATATAAATATATATTCCAAAAGTAATGCCCGATCTAATCGCGCAGAATCTTCACGGAATGTGTTCGACTGGAAAAATCATACACATTTCGTAATGCTTCGCTGTATTTTTTTTTTTTAAGAGATATATATATGTATATATATTTATGCATATATATTTGTCGGAGAAACGTAAGAACACAAATTGGACGATCTCGCGCGTCGTTGCTGTACGCGCAGTGAATGTATGTGTACGTGTTTGTGTGTGTGTGTGTATTTCTCTTTTACGCCGGACACATGCGCGTGCGCGCACGCGAGAAGAAAGGAAGAAGAGGCACGACGTCACTGTTAACCGCAATAGAAGAAGATTAATTTTAACTTAATACTTATCCTTTGGCTTTTTAAGTAAAAAGAATATCTTGCGGAATCTACGTAACGTTCACGTTCGTAAAAAGAGCGCCGGGGTGGCCGGCTGGAGGGAGAGGGGAGAAGTTATTCATACACGATACTTATCCAGAGGCAAAAATCCAGAGTAAACACGTTTCATATATTATAAATGTTGTTGTTTGCGTATGTGTTAATATGTAAAGACAAGACTGTTACTTTGCATGTTACAACGGCGCCGGATGTGTAATGTGTGTTGTAGTGTGAGTACCTACGTCGCTAACACGCACGATACAGCGGGTGGGGTTCGAGTCTCGCCCGATTAACGATTTCCGACAGACACTCGACCCGCGAAACAAACGGAAAATCTCGACATGAGGCGCGCATTTTTGCCGAGACGCGACTGATCACGCGCTGTGACCGTCGGTCGATCTCGCGGGAGAATCGGACTGAATCGAATTGCGCCTGCAGCGGAGGCTTCTCGACGACGAGGACGACCGTGGAGACTCGAGTCCCACCGATGTGCCGGTAATGACAACGCAATAATGAAAAAGGGCTTAAAGGTACCGCTCGAGGGGAAAAGAAGGGGCAGTTAAATTACGTCTGTACAATATTACGGTGCGCTCGCGATTAACCCTCGTCCAACAGGCGGGACCGAGAAATCCGTACATTGCCTCTCTTTCTCTCTCTCTCTGACGCACTGAAGATTCGACGGTTCTGCGCGCGAATAGATCGTCCGGCTGACCCGCTGCTCGTGGGTTAAGCGCGACGACCAAAGGGGCACGCGTGTGCGCGATCAACGCACTATCTCGCTCGTCTATACAGATACAGCTCTCTGACTACAAAATACGCTCGTTAGAAGACGTCGCATTGAGAACAACACTTTCTCAATGTCCGAGAAGAAACATTATTCGCTAATGTTAAAAATAGATAACAAGGACGGGGGACTCGTCGAACGGGGGAGAGGCGAAAGACACGGAGCAGTCGACACGAGCTCAGGGGAGGGAGCACAATTATCACGTGTATTAGTCCATACATACGAAATAGCTCAACATGAAAGTGAGATGGGAATCAGAAGAAACAAAGAGATAGTCGGGGACGAATCATTCCAGTCGGAAGGAGAACGCGAATATCTCACTGAGATATATCACTAAATTCAACGGACCGTAAGGGGCGCACGTGAAACGTCTTCCCGCCGATATGTAGCCTGGCGTGAATCGTTCGCCGGAGGGAAAGAGGAGACGAAGAGGCGCGGACGCTGCTGCTGCTGCTGCTGCTGATCGAGTTTCAATCGGCGTCTCGTGGAAAAACGCGCATCGCAAGTGATCGTCTTCCCTTCCGGCAGTTTTGCTACGTCGCACTATTAACGTTCCGAGCGAAATCCACGTGGTCGCATCACATTCGTAACATGGCTCTATTGCGAACGTAGCAGGAACAAAAGCACCGTCCTGTCTCCCCATCGGCGAACACAGCTGTGCGGATGTTATTACCTCTCCACGTCGGCACGGCAGGGATCGGTATGACACGTCGTATCTGGGCGTTCGCACGTCCGACGAGGCTCTCCCTCATGTTCATCTCTGATTGTCTTGGCAAATCTGGTCGACTTGTGCTTGATCCAACATTTTGGTTTGATTGTCCAACGGCGGGGAGTCGTCGGTGCTGAGGCCGGTTCGCACCGGTGACGGACTGTCCACAGGCCGGAAGGAAAAACTAGGCGAATCCGCGCCGGATAACGACTCAGGGGTGCCGACGGAGCTGATGCTTGGAAGCGGGCTCATCAGCGTATCTATCCTGTGGTAAAAATTATGTTCTATAAATACGTTCAGTTCGTATAGGTTGCTTTGTATTATTGGGAGCAAGCAGGGTTGGCCAAGTCACTTTTGAAAAGTGACTCGTTACCTATTGAAAAAAGTAACGTCCCACCGTCATTCGTTGCCCATTGAAAAAAAGCAACTTCTTAGCGTTACTTAAGAACAAGTTACGATTTCTGTTATTTTTTCCGTTGAATTTAGTGTTATATCCCAAGGAAAGCCTTTTGGAGACCCTTTCTTTAAAATTCGTTCGTGTCTGTCTTGTACATATTAGGTGCTTGCAAAAGTTCGTATAATATTAAAATTCGCACAATATTAAAATTTATAAGTAACACAATTTATTTATCAATATCAATGAGATGGCATATAATATTTTAATCAAAGTATTGGTCGTTGTTATCGATAACTTTTTGCCATCTATCGGAGCAACGCTTCCAATTCATTGTTTTCCATTTCGTTTAGACTATCAGAACATGGCTTGATATCGTTGATATCGTAATCACCATTTCTAAAGCTTTTAAACCACTTCTCATAGACAGCAATACATACAATATTTTCTCCATAAATTTCACAAACCAATTTTTTAATTGTCGCAGCAGTTTCACCTCGATTAAAGTAGTAAAACATGCAGTGGCGAAGGTGAACTTTATCTCGTTCTATTTTCAATCGCATTAAACGTGACGTTTTGTTCGGAACTGTGAATTGTTAACCATCAATTCTGATCCAATATGATCAACATTTACAAACTAAAAAGTAACAGAAAACAATTAATCGCTGCTGTAGCCATCTACTCAGGTAGAACAAATTTAAAAAAAATCTCTTAAAGATGTCTGGAAGATATTCTAAAAGAAAAATAGAACGCCTTTTAGGTACCTTTAAGACATCTTTTAAACATTTGTTCTGCCTGGGTATTTATGACTTTACGAATTTTTGCAAGCATCTAATATTTATTAAACAAAGTAACGATTATACAATACGATTATATAATACGATTACATAATACGATATATTACGTTAACGATTATATTCGTTAACGTTGCCCAAAAAACTATCAGAACATGGCTTGAACATGGCTTAACTGCGTTACCGTTATGAATAAAAAGATATAACGTTGTTACTAAATCATTACTGGAAGTAAGTAACTTCTGCAACGGTTACTACAGCGTTACTTCCCAATCCTGAGAAGATCATTCGGCATAAGACATTCAATCGAACGATACTGTAGACAAAACGGAACGTGGAGTCGTTGTTAGAAGTTACCTAGATGTAGCCGACGTGAGTAAGCCGGAAGTGCGTTTCGCAGGCGGTTGCAAGTGGCTGCCAGCCTCGTCCAGTTCGAATTTCCTCTTGACTGGTCCCAGGCAGCTCGGCCTTATCGCAATAGGGCTCAAACTGCGCCTGTGTGCACGTTCAGTAAAATATGAATATCACATCGTGAAGCCGGGAGAAGATAACAGCACGATTTGCGACAGCTAAGCCTCCGAATAATACGCCCTCTTTTGCCGCAGACCTCTGATACGACGCTAACCCCCTTGGGGGAACATAACTTAAGATAAAAACTAACTTTGAGAGAAAGTAAATCCGCTCAAAAGACGAGTTATACCTCGTGGCGAAAGACTTCCTCGTGGGGCTAGGGCTGCTCTTCCAGTTGACCATGTGAAAACTCGGAGAATAACACTTCTGACCAAGTCCAGATCTTGTGGGCGATGGCGAGGAACACAACGGTGAGCCAGTGATAGACAAGTTCAGACTCAGGGGGTCTAACGGCCTCTTAGTGATGGGCTTGTTAAGTTGCTGCATGGGAGATTCCGAGTCCTTGAACGACAATCCCTCAGCCTCCAGGGTCAGATCCTCCCACGACTGCGATATCTGCATGGCACTGTGAATCTCCTTCTCGTGCGCCGCCTCCCGGCCAGCGATGTCCACCGATTCCTCCTGTCTCAATTGACTTATGCGCGGTGTCAATCTAGGAACATTACCAAAGCTCTAAAAATAAAAAAGAGATAAAGATAAAAAATCGCGCACGAATTGGATCCGGCTTACTCCAGATTAGACAAATTGCGCGTCTCATTGCGCGCGAGATCAAACCCGCTCGTCATCGATCACGTATCTGCAATTGATCTCAGGGCGAATTTCATCTCACTGTGAACGTCGCCCGCCGCAGAAAACAAATCGCTCACATTCGCTGCGGTGATAAAAGAAGTTCTGATAATAACTAATCCATGTATATACTGTATACCAGCCATATCAATCGGCTGACGGATAATCTGGTATAGGTGAAGCAGAATATGATCTTACACTGGTGCTGAAGCGTCGCGTACGAGGTGGATTAGAAAACATATTACAGGACACTGCATCCCTGGAAGAGAAACATTCATGTACATACAAAAGGAAGCCCCTTTTCCATGCATCAGTCTTTTGCCTTCGCTTCTAGATTGTCCTGCTATTCGAGTGGGCCATGTCTCTATTATCCACTCGTAAGATCAAGCTACAAACAAGCCAATAAACTATGGTCGTTACTACATTGACACACACACAGTGTGTCTACCAGATCCTCATTGCTGAAGAGTCTCAAAGAGACCTGAAACTATTCACACATTGGTCCACATTCTCAACTCATTTTCATCGACAAAAGTGGTCCTAAAAGTAACTTAGAAACCTGATTGACAGAGGAGTCATATTCGAAGCACTTTTATCGTCAAAGGTGAGCTCAGAACACGGACTGTTGTTATCTCGAATCTGATAATTACAAGCTGTTTTCTGGGGCACAATGTACACCCTCTCACCCAGAGCAAGTTCGTAAAACAGGCAGAGTCAGTATACACACCTGGACGAGGAAGTAGACGGTGTGGACATGGCTGCGCTCATCTGGTTGATCATCGGCGCGCTGCTGGATCGTTTCAGACTGAGCATTGGACAATCAACGTCCATGATTCCCGGTGCGTCCCGCGACCTCGAGTATCCTAAGGCGTGTATGCACGGCGTCCACGTGGAACAGGCACATGGGAGATCCCGTGGATACCGCGGGAATACCTGACAACCACGAGGCGCGTCGGCAGCGGCGGCGGCGACGACGTCGACGACGACGTCGTCGTCGTCGTCCTCGGTGTCGTAGTCGTCGTGATAGTTTCTCCCACCGTCAATGGACGGCTTGTCGTTCGGGTTCTCGCGCGGTTTGGCCGAGCTACAACCACCACGTTCTCGCTCCGTCCGGTGTCGCAGCCGCAGCGATCGCCGAAGACTTCGTTCTCCGCGCCGAGTGAGAACGACTATCGCCGTTCACGACTGCAAGCCGGAGGTGAGAGACGGACCTGCGGAATTGTAATCTGAGTCTCGCGCCTCGTGCAGCGAACGAGCGAGCGAGCGAGCGAGCATGAGAGAACGACGCGATCAATCCGACGAGTCCTACGCGGCAGAGCTGGGCGAGCGAAGCGCTTGGCGGAGCGGGCGAGTCCTCGCTGCTATCGATAATACGGACATGACCAGTCTCTCTCTCTGGACGCCGTGCTCGTGCAACGAACCGCGTGGGGGCGCATTCGAAGCCTAGCTGAATTCTCATGTGCGAGCAGCCGGACGAACGTCGTGATTCGATTTCGCGAGCGCGTTCCGCTTTCAGGGGGAAGTTGTCGCTGCAACGGAAGACGCTACGCGACGGAGATCATGATTAAAATCAATTGAAGATTACAAGTAAGGTGCAATCGAGCCCGTGTCAGGCCACGGATTAGAATAAAGATTGAATTGAAACTTGACCAATCGGAGGAAAGTTCACTAAAGTGCCCGGACTTAAGTCCTTATCTATCGATAGATGCGGCAAGCTTTAAGCCGTAGGAAATTGATTAATCACGATTGAATTATGGGAGGAAAATCAATTATGATCGGTCAATTTCTTACGGCTCAAAGCTTGCTTATCGCTTTCCAGTGGTATATCAGTAATTTTTTCGCATTCTTGCAGCTTTTCCCGTATGGGAAAGCCCGATGGAACGGCGATGAATGCTATTATTTTGTCTCATTTATACTCGTTTCTATTCGTGGTTTAAATATAATCAATGATTCAGTTAACGAAATTGCCTTAAATGTGGTTTCTCCAAGCCAATCAGGTTGTTCCTACATTTTTTCACGTCACTTTTAGAGGCACTTTTATTGGTAAAAGTGAGTTCAAAATATGGATTTGAAGATTCACTACACATACTGTGGATCCGAACTAATACCCGTTTCTACCATTATTATATATTATCATAGACAACAATGTTTACAATCGTGTCATAAACGTCTTCAGGACATCTTATGACTCGATTTTAGACATTGTGCTGTTTGGTATAGTTTAAATGTAATCAACGTAATCGACCAATCACAAATGGCCAATTAGCTGAGCCGATCAGTACGATTGGTCAACTCCGTTGTATTAATCGTCCATTAGATTTTAAACCACGATGGTAGAAACGAGCATTAGCCTTTTGCTCCGAGTACTAAATTATAACGAAATTTCAAACGTAAAACGTTTCCAGCGCTGCCAAAAATGATAACGTTCAAAACTTTCCAAGATGAAGCGTTACCGCAACTTTCGGCAGCGCGGGAAACGCCTCTTGCTGGAAATAACATTTCGTTGCTCAGACAGGCGTTCAATGGATCTTTTCCTCAAGTGCGAAAACTGAACTTGAAAAACGAACATTTCCAAATGCTCTCCGGCTCGAAAATTGCCACTTTTCGCGAGTTCACGCCAGAGGAAGAGATTCACGATTGTCCCTGTCACAGCTGGACCGAAAACCCGAAGGCTTGCTGCACCTACTGTAGATCCGGACTTTCACGAATGGCGCAGCGAGATCGCCGCGGTACGTACGCTCGTGCTCCTTCTCGAGGTGCAAATCACCGCGATAGAGGCATCTTCAAGGGTGAAAAATTCGGACCGCGAGTCACGGCGAGCGGAAGAGTGTCCGTCCGACCGCCCGCCGTCTTTGCTCACACGATTCGTCCGGGAAATTCGGTCTGTCTGTGTTCACGGTCCCCGGATCTCGCTGTGGCTTCTGCCACGCCAATCATCGGCGCAGCGAGAGCGCACCTAACCTCTGTCCCGACCTTCAGTGAACGATGCTGCCGCTCTTCGACGTCGCGTATCTTCGCGTCGTGCTCGATCACGACCACGGCGACGATGACGACGACGATGTCCCCGCGATCGTCGTGCCGAGCCTCTCGAACGTGCTCATCCGTATCCGTCATACTAACCTCCTTTCTAACGCGTCGCGAGTTGCCGCTCTACAGGCTTGTTAAGCTTGAAATCCCTTAGATTCGCGACTTAAGTTTGCGTTTGCTCTCGTGGGATACGCGGAACACGTCGACGATGGTAAAGCTACGGCGAGCGTTTGCATGAGAAAAGAATATCTCTCCTCAGGAAGGTTGTTGACGGTCGCTTAACCTGTACGGATTGATTGTTGATTCGCAGGTTGTTAAACGCCGTTTCTATAATGGACATGAGCAACGAGGACGGCGACGATGTGTCGTTCCGTCTCGGAGAGATGTTCAATAGCTATGAGGAGCTGGAGCAGAAGCTGGAGAGGTTCTCCAAATACAGTCTGGTGCACTACTGGAGGCGAGACAGCAGAACCGTCAGCGGGGCTCATATGAAAACTGCCCGGCCAATCAGCGAGCGACTGAAGTATTATTCCGTCAAATATGCGTGCATTTACGGCGGCCAGAAGTTCCTGCCACGTGGTGCTGGAAGAAGGCAGTCTCAGTTAGTCTTAAACTTTCACCTCAGACTGTAGATCTGTTCTCTCTCACTGAACAGGCTGTGTTAGTTTGTATCAGTTCTCTTCTCTTGTTTCTCCTACCAAGTCTGAACTGTGTATCTGTCTCTTTTTAAGTTCCATAAGTACACAATAGTTCAGCAAGAAAATAGACCTTACATTTAACAAACTACTAATATTATCGTTAAAGTATAATTAATATTAATAATTAACAAATTATACACGCGTGGCTTGTATGATAAAACATCTATTACATCGCACAGGTCTATACGAACCAACTGTCCCGCTCACATCATGCTCAGGGCGTCTAAAGATGGCACAAAGTTAGAAGTGACCAGCGTCAACAACGAACACAATCATGAAATATCGGAGGTACACAAATTCTGGTAGTTTCACTCGTTATGCCATATAATGGACATCCTACAAAACCACCACATGCTTTATGATTGCCCATGTTATTCAATGCAACGCTAAATTCCTTCGTTGTGTCCCATGAAACAGGAACTATTTAAGAATCTCCCACAAGAGAGAAAACTGTGTGGTGAGATCAAGCAGGAGGTGCAGGACCTCATGCAGTTGCACATCGATCGTAAGAGGCTGAAGGAGTACGTGCGCTTGCGTACCAACAAGGTGCTGCGATCCAAGGATTTGTTTAACTTGGCAGCGGCGAATAAGCAAAAGAGAGACATTACTCCGGAGCGGGCGTATCAGTTGTACAAGAAGATACACGAGATCGAGAAAATGCAGGGTATGGATAACAGTAAAAGGACATATTCCGAGTCCGAGGAGGAGATAGCGCAGACCTTGAAAAGGTTGAAGAAAGAGCAGGAATCCGCCTGGGGTCAAGATGTAAGGCTCTAGTCGGTCCACCGATTCGTCTACTCGCCTAATGTTATTGTCGCAAAACCAAAGTGGCTCACGTTTTTAACACTTGTCTCGTCAGGGATTGTCAACGGAGTTGGAAGTGAGCGAAGGTAACGACGGCGAGGACTCTTACGGCGGCCAACTGACGCAAGAAGAGGTGGCGGCTGAGATCGACACGAACGAGGGTGAATTACTGCGAACGAACAACGAGGGTGACATCATAGCGGCTAACGGAGAAATAGTCGGTGAATTGGTAATGGAGGACGGCGATCCGTCGGTGATAGTCGAGTCTATCGTCAATGCGGACGGCTCCGTGTTCGTCGACGGCAGGGAATTTAACAGCTACTGTAGTAATCATCTGACGCACACGGTCGACGAGAGCCAGTCGCCGAAATCACGTGGTAAATTTGCTGATCGCATACATCGCTTACAGCGAATTCGATCACTCGCGCTACACCAGATTGATGCGTACTAGAGGCTGTTGTATATAAAGCAGTTATTTAAATAAAAAAAACACGCAAGCATCTGGAGTGATTAAACACCTAATGACGGCTATATTTATACGGCAATCCGGTTAATCCAGTTCAATAACAATTCCTTCATTCGATTGGTGTATTTTTTTAGATCTAAAAAAAATATTCCAATGAAATGCAAGAGCCTTAGTATGCACTAGTATAGTGCTGGTGTTCGAATTCGCTATTACTTTTGTAACAATAAATGAAAATCAACGGTACTTTTCATCGTGCTAATTTACACCGATTGTTTGATACACGTACTAACCAATAACTTTCTATTATTCTATAATATTATAAAATCTATTATATCTATAATATTATATAATCTATAATATTATATAACCTATTAGATTATCTTGATATCAACGAGACGTGTCAAGGATGGATGATTTATATAAATTATTAGTATATATCAAGCACATTAGTACATATCAAGAAGATATATCGTATAAGTTTGATATCGATATCAAGATGATCTAATCAAAATTTACTAATTAGTGCGCGTATCAAATGATCGTTGTAAACTAAGCAATTGATCCCATCGATATGTTAGTTCTAGATATAGAGACGATCACACCTACCATTGAGAAAGTGACGAAGGCGTCGTCCGTATCGCCCAATCACAAGTCGCAGAACGATCCCTTGACGTTGTCACAGTCACCAAAGTCGTCCGGTAGCTTCACCGAAGCTGACTCGAAAATCTGGATCGTGAAGGAAAGCATGCCGGTGGAAACGGACCCGGAAAGCGGAGCCGAGAGCGAGACGAATACGACGACTCAGCCGATCTCCACGATAAAGCAGATTCCCATAGATGATGTGCCCGAGATGATGCTATCGGACGAGGCGAGCCACCAGTTACTTCAGGAGCAGTTGGCGGTGTTGCGTGCCGAAAGGGGCAAGCTTTATCACGAGACTGAGATGCTGAAAATGAAGAAGGACAAGTTGAAGTTACAGATCAATTGTTATTCGAATGAGATAAGCAAGCAAGAGCTGGAAAAGGAGAAACTGAAGCTCGAGATTAAGCTGCTTCAGTCTAAAGTCGTGGAGGACACTAACGATGTATCGCATTACATCTTCGTGCCTTGAATCCTCCGGCTGTTTGTAAAAAAATAATTGTAAATAATGTGTTTTACCGCTTTAGTACCATTGGAATCGCGCGTGTACATATTAAGTCGCATGCGTGCGTGCGTACGTGCGTTTGTCGGCTAAGAGATCGTTGGAGAAGGTCTGTCGCCAGTTCACATAGCTCTAACAATTGAATTTCTTTATTTATATAAGGAATACGTTCTTGTTTGTTGAATGTGATATGTGATGAACGATCAGGTGTAGCTAATAAGGCGCGTTACTTTGGCCAGCTGATTACTTTGGCTTGCTGAAATCTTGTTTCCTTTTCCTCGAGTTTCACGCTTTGTATCCTTCAACTCGCAAGCCTGAGCGGCGAATACTCTTATTGCGTATCTGTTGATTTCGGTGTATGGTATTCTGTGAAGATGAGATGTAGCGAAGTAACTGCGTTAAAAGATACCATGCATATTCCACACGAATGCTTCCTCATCGCCAGCTACAAACTGTCGTAAATAAACACATTATTTTTATTATTTTACTCCTGCGCGTGAACATTACTTCCAAACCGAACCTGTCGCAGTCGCATCGCTAATTGAAAAACCTTCGATTGAAGACTTTAATATTTCAGTGTCCTGTGCCGCGAACATCGTGAGCTGTAAGGTAAAATTAGCAATGGCTGCGTTTAGCAGAAAAAAGCAGGTTAGAAAGTGCTTTTCGTTGCGTTGCCAATTATTTAATATTCTAATCACAATTATCATATATAGTTATGATTAGATTAGATTGATGCTAATTATATATATTTATGATTAGATAATTATGATTAGATGTTTGGATATAATTATTTAATTACTATTGTGCCATTGTTTTCTCTGTGCATGCAAGAAGGTTTCAGCAAATCTTTAAAAAGTCTTTCTTATTCAGAGGCCTAAAAATTGACTATTTTTTTTTTGGAAATGGATTGTGAGGAAACTGTACAACCGATTAAGATGAAATTTTCTATTTGTTTTAATAGGAAGTTTTGTTTTATAGTTGCAGAGTTAAAATTATATCTTCCTTCTCCACTCTTTTCTTCTGGCCCATTGAATTTGGCGCATTGAGAAAATATAAAAATCGCGGAAAGTTCCCCGCAGTCTTGTAATCGAAATATTTTAATAATTCTCTTTCACCATTATTCTACATTAGTATACGAAGTTACTGAATTAACACACATTTGAGTTAAAATATTGGAATTTAACAAAATAACGGCAAAACGAAAATCATGTTTTAACTTTCAGCATTTTTTTCGAGCATTATTTTTATAAAAAAAGGGGTTAAATAACTTATAAATATAAATTAATTGTGATTCATGAACTGCAAAAAAATGTCAATAATAATTGTGCAAAGTTTCAAGTTAATCGGTTAAGCCGACTTTTCGGGATTTCCCGTGGTTTTGAAAACATGGTTTTGAGAAAAACAGCTTTAAAATTTTAAATTGAATTTTTATAATCCAAATGTTTTCTTACCAATCATTAATTCGCTCTTTCAGAATTATAAAATAGACCTTCTATTTCTTCGTACATATCACATTGTATATATCGTGTCATGTCATATAAGGTTTGTTACTCCTCTCTGCGAGCCGTTCTATTTTCTTTTTGCTTCTCTGACGAAAATCTTGTATCATCTCGGAGCCGGTTTTGATCCCTTCTTTGGACGAGTGCTTCTGCTTGTGGCTCGATTTTTACACCCATAGTCATCATTATCTACAGAATAGCATTATACTCTTCATTGAAAATACTTGCAGCCGTAAAATTCGTCAATTCTACAATTTTTCGATTCATATCTCTATTCTTAGGAGCCATTCGTCAAATAGTTACGTTGAAACGCAACTATTACTTACTATTATTTCATTTCAGTTTCCCCAACTTATTCTAACAGTCCCGACACAATAGATTAGAAACCGGTCTCTTGAAATGGGACACAATATACTCGGCTGTTAGCCTCCCGCTACCTGCTCGACTTTCGTCCTGCGCAACGTCTCAGAAAATGTCTATTATCTCTGAATCATATTTTTTTTCACCTTTAGGTAAAGGTTAATTCTACATACATGTTGGATTCAAAAATTGATTTTTTTACTCGTCTAATAAGAAAGACCCCTTAAGTACCAATGTAGAAAAAATGATCAAAAATGTTTTAAAGCATCAAAAATGCACAACAGCAATCAGATAATTATATTTAATCATATTTAATCATACATGAACCATATTGCACAATAATCGAAGTTTATCCGAAAGACATCTTGTGGATGTCCCATAGCCATCCTTAAGGCTCCTGGATAGTCGCTGCAACTGTCCTTGTTTGATGACGTCAGAAGCGAGAAAACGCATGTCAAGAATTTTTGCGTTTTATATTCAAATAAAAGGACATATTCACAAAATGACATTTGTAATCGATTCAGTACATTTGTAAAATTGTTCGTGCATTTTTCTTTTATTCGAACAAGCAATAAATAATCGTAAGATTAACATTGACAAAATCATGAGAATAGAGGTTAAAATGAATGGTTCCGTGTCAAATTAATTTTGCGGCTGTTTATTGATTGTTCGAATAAAAGAAAAGTGCACGGACAATATTACAAATGTACTGAATCGATCACAAATGTCATTTTATGAATATATCTATTTATTTGAACGTAAAACGCAAGAATTCTTGATATATGTTTTCTCGCTTCTGACGTCATCAAACAAGGACGGTCGCAGCAACTACCTAGGAGTCTTAAGACATAAAGACGTCACCGGAATATCTTTAGGACATCTATGCTAGAGATTGATTAATCAATAATTATGTATGGACAAATTTCATATATAATTTAGTATAATTATGTATAGTTACGTATATTTATACATGATTATATATGAAATATTTTTTTACGGGATAAATAGCTTTAAAATTAACGCGACAAAATCATGACAAAGGTAGGTTAAAAAGGAAGGTTGTACATCATGTTAATTTTACGGTTATTTATTGATTATTAAGGCAAAGGCAAGTCTCCGGAATATTTCACAAATGTGCTAATCGATCGCAAGTATCATTCCACGGACACATCTCTCTATTTCAATGTATTTCACAAGAATTTTGGGCATGCGTTTTCTCGCTTCTGACGTCATCGAACAAGACGACTACTGCGAGGAAGCATGAGAGGATTCGAAAGAAGAGAAAAGAAACTTGCGAGGAGGAGCAAAAGAACAGGAATGTTCAAAGTTAGGCGCACGTCCGGGCATTGGTATTTTTTACCTTATCTCTCGTGTGAATTTCCTTGTTTTTTCGACGCGAGCGTGAACGTAGGAGGGGAATATCCGCGCGATGGGCAAAGCGAAAATCGAAGCTGATCGAGACGAGAGATACACGGCCTATGTCGGATTCGCCGGATTCTAACGTGCCGCCGCGATCCCCACCCACGGCGAATGCCACAGCTGTGATAGATGGCAGCACGGACGCTGTCCTTGGTTCTCCGCAGACTCCTCATTCTTCCGGAACGATCAACGCTCGTCGGTTCGTACGAAAGTACTGTAGTTTTGCGCTTATTGAACTCTCCGAATTTCCGACGTCATGCTGAAGCCCCTGCTGCTTCTGTGCTGGACCGCGATATTCGTGTCAGGTAACGATTTGATTTAGCCGAGCGCACCGCGAGAAGCGGCAGCTGCTGCTCCCCACGGAGTGTATACATACACGTACGCGACATACACTTACACACACACACACACACATACTCGCGAACGCGTACACCCGCTCTCGGCGACGTGGAGGACTTACCGTCGCCGTCGGCTTCTCGATTAACCTGGGCAAACGAAGAAAAGAAGCGACCCCGCGTCGTCGGGATCGTCGAGCTTGCGCCGACCACGCTACTCGGTTCGGAAATTAATTACGTTTCTGTGGGCCGATGCGTCGATAGGCGCCATGATGAGGCGCGGATGGGAAGCCGTTCCGCTTTTCTTTCGAACGACCATGTCGCGGAAAATTTTCGGCTTCCTCGCGCGCGACTCGCCTGGTTGGCTCGCCGATTCGAAGCGGATGATTAATGCCCGAACGATACGATCGCTCGTATCGTGTGTGGCGGCCGACATTGCGTAGCAATGGATGCCGGAGACACACGGGTATCGAAAGAAAAAAAGAAAGAAAATGCCAGGCTACGTGTGCATCACATCGCCTAGAAATAGCAATAAAACGTGATAAAAGCTCTTATCTCTGTAAAAATACGCCTGTCGAGTAAGTAATAGCTCTGATCCGTTGTCGATATATTCGACCTCCGGGCGAGATGAATTTGAAGTGACTAATCCACCGACGACTGTATATGTGTATATGAGATTGCTTCCATAATGTTGAAGTTCATGTCTGTTTCCTTTTTTCTCCACGCTTTGAACTTTGCTCTTCCTCGTTTAGCAGTTGACATTTTTTTCTTCCCTACAAAACAACCCGGCAGCTTTATTTGAATATTGGGACATGCAACATTATGGAGTATCCAGTCATATAATATCTAGCGAAATAGATGAATTATTTACATAGTTTACAAAGTATAATAAACACACACACACATTATATAAAATATATATATACATATATATATATGCACTCATATTTTGTACACTTGACAGTTATTCAAGACAAAGAAAGGACATAAAGTATCTCAATTTCAAAGACGCAGGATACAATTGGTTCTTTAAGAGCCATTTTTCTTACAATGTTTCTCTTATCTTTAAAACTCATTAGTATGCAACCTTGACATTTCGACGCATAACATGTATGGTATGGAATTATAATTATGCATATGTTATTTTTGACAGCTGGTGACCAGAAGACTAATGGTACCAGTGGCGCGACTGTTTTCTCGCCTCAAGAGAGAGCAACTGTAGAGCCATTAATTGACACTAAATCAACAACCATCCCGAGCAGCGCACATGTGCCATCTGAATCGGATGCGGACAAACCAAAAGTATCACTCTTAAGCACCTCAGATGAAAAAACACCCGATTCTACTACGGAGGTTATTAGTGTAACACCTCCGACCACCAAGTCGACTACGATGTCAACTACATCTACTACACCATCAAGCACTACACCATCGAGCACTACACCATCGTCGACTACAACGATCCCAACCACCGTTCCTAGTAATATTACCACACCAGCGCCGACTCCTGTTCCTCCGCCAAAAACTAAAAAGTGGACGGTCAAACAGAACGATACATTGTGCATCATTGTCCAGATGGCTGCACAGTTTGATTTCTCCTACACCGTCAACAATACGGTGAGCAATTCTGAGCAAAGTCTCGAGATACACACACAGAAAAAAATTAGTCTTAAGTCAAGAATAGATATTCTCATATATGAGCGAAAATATTCGAACTTTTATAGAAGATTTTGAGTTTTTTGCTTTTACTGAATTTGTATTGGCGCAAGTATTACTTCCACTCAATTCATGACTAAAAATCCAAAGAATATTCTTCTAAGCGCACTATAATATTCTTGCTTATGTATGAAAATATCTGTCATTGATTCAATACTATTTTCTTCCGTGCGTAAATATGTATGTCAATATTTACGCGATACTACTGTTATCGTAATATAAGTTGCACAACATTAAAATATGCGCATGACTGTGCGTCATCTATGTCGCTATTCATTTCTATTTCACTCGCGCAGACGATCCAGAAGACGATAGACGTACCCAGCAACAGCAACGCGACGGGAACATGCGGTAATACCGAGCAGAATATCATGGTGTCGTGGTACACGCAGAACGATTCTAGACAATTGAACAATTTCACGCTGCATTTCGTGAAGAACGAGACGATCAAGCTGTACTCTCTTCATCACTTCGAGATCTCCCTCGCGCCGGAAGAATTCCCAGCTGATAAGTGGAGTACGGCATCTCCTGCATAAACAAACTTGCTCTTTGATCTGGTCTCCCCCCTCCCCCCTCCCCCCGGCATCTCTGACTAAATTTTCGCTCTTTTGCAGATAAGACCGTGACATTGGTACACATGGTACCGCAATATGAGACTAGATTGAGTGACTCTTACAGATGTCTCAAAGAGCAGAAGTTGGACTTGCATGTGAACGGTGTGAACGAAACCGTAGGGCATCTGACGGTATCTAATTTGCAGTTCCAAGCTTTCAGGACTGACAACAAAACCATTTTTGGCCTAGGTGGGTATCTCTGCTTTCTTGTCACGTCTGTTTGGATGCCAAACGCTCTGGCTGGCTCTTCCTTTTCTCCTTCCTCCCCCGAAAGAAAGTACAGATACACTTTCATCAACAGTATCTACCGTACGAGAATAATAAGCATTTGTCTTTTTCTCTTCTTCAGCGAAGGACTGTGCGTTCGACACGCCCGACATCGTCCCCATAACGGTGGGTTGTGCACTGGCGGGTTTGGTAGTAATTGTACTGATCGCGTACCTCGTCGGCCGTAGACGAAGCCAGGCCCGTGGTTATCTTAGCATGTAAGCGCTAAGTGGAAGTCCGCGCAATAAGATCTTTTTCTTTCTTCACCCTCTTTTTTTTATCGTTAAACATATTTTTTTTTATTACAATTTTCCATTAACGGAATTGTCTTATTAAGAGTTTATGTAGTTGTACTTTGTGTTCTATAGCCATGAAGGCTGTGACACGTTTAAAAAAAAAATATATATTATATATATGCGTATATATATAATATAGTTCGTATGTTTATAAAGTTATCACGATTGCGTGCGGCAATATTAGGAGAAAAACGAAAAGAAAAAAAAAGAGATATATGTATCGCGGATTCGATACAGGGTGATAATTCCGAAGTAACGTGCTCCATTTTAGGAAGACGATTTACTTTCTCTCTAACAATACAAACCTCAATTAATCTAGTTAAGTTGTAGAGGATCTACGTTATGTGTCTGTGCTGCTACTCGACTACGATCGACAGCGAGGATTACCTGTTTTTTCGATGAGCGTCTGACAAAACGAAAACCAGGAATATTCGTTTCGATAGACACGCGTTAGTATAAATAAATACAAATAAAAATATAAAACTCGATACTCTAGGTATTTGCTGAATCCGCAGCTTCTCGTAACAAGATACAGTACGTAATTCATAGCGTTCCCTCCCCCCTGTTTTCTTTTTTTTCGTTTCTTTTTGTTTCTATATTTTTACGAAAGAAAAGGGAACAATCATTTCCCGGCTTTAATTAGCGCGATACAACGTATCGCTCTTTAATTACCTTTGTACGTGTCGATGTACGTTTCTTTTGATTGCTTGCATACTCGAGTCCTTTTTCTGTTTCCGTTCTATATATATATATATATATATAATTTTTTTTTTTTTTTTAATTAAAAGTACCGTGAAGTAATGGCAGTCGTTTACAGCCCTAGGCGTGCGTGCGTGCGTGCGTCAGAAACAGTATGAAGGAGCACGAGCTTCGTCCGTTGAATTCAAAGTTGCGCTTCGCTCGACTCGAGCGAGCACGCCGAATTAGATACTACAAATGATAAGACCCACTAAGTGTAATGTCGTTAGTTAGCGTCAAGTGTAGCGAATAGTAGCTTAACTTCCGCATAATAATTAATAGTCAATATATGAATTTCGACAAGAACTGTCCCCATGATAGAATATATCATTGTTTCCTGTCTAACAGGAAATCATCCGGAAAAAAAAAATAGTACACACGCTATCGCTTGTATACAAGTCACATACACAAGTTTAAACACCCTCGTGTTTTTTTTTTAACAACAATGTGTGGAATACCACGGTATCTTCACGGTTTTTTGCTGCTGCTGTTGCTTTACTCAATCACTTATCTTTTCCGACACTTTTATGAGATTGCGATTACATAATGACGATCTGGCGATCTTGTATAAAATGCGAACGAAAAAACGGGACTTGTCCGAGTTAAGAAATTTCACGTGTACACCGTGCTGCTTCATAAGTGAATTATATTTGTGACGAGACTGAACGAAGAATAGTGCTTGAGAGCAGCTGGTAGAAAGAGAGAGATAGAGAGAGAGAGGGCAAAAAGTAAAGTGAAACGAGGTAAAACAAATCGATAAACAAAGTGCTGTATATAAGACATAAAGTAGTACTACTTTTGGATTACGAGTATGTATTGCAGCTAGGCGAAATCTGTTATATGAACAATAAAGTGGCGTATTTCAAGGATATCGTCCTGTCTTGCCACTTCTCCATGTTCCTCGAACACGTTTATTTATTTATTTATTTTCTTCATAATCTCACGTCTTAGCATCTTTCTTGTCGAAGTCTTTTCCGACCAAATTGCGATGTAACGATAAGAAGTTATCGGACAATTATGTAACATCGCCTGACTTTTAAAGTAACAAGCTTTTAAAGTAACAAGCCGTTTTTTCCGCTGGAAATTCTCATCTGCTTGTGTACAGCGCCCGAAATCGCGTTTGGCGTTACATTACGGGGGGCGTGTTTAGCGTTAATCAAACGATATATCCCTAAATGCAAGATAGAACCGTTATCACGCAAACATATGATGTTATCGCGTTGACATATGATTAGTGACAGGAGGAGGAAACATGGCCGCGCATCTCTCTCGTGTGATTTCTCTATAGGTCATTCTGAATGATCTGCCCCCCTTCGTTACACTTGCTCTCTTTTCTCGTATTTTCATTTTTATTTTTCGATTTTGTATTCATGTTCCATTTCATCTCGAGTGCAATGGATATAACACAGTGTTGAAAGACTTGAAATAAACTGAACACGTTTGAACTTTTAAGAATGAAGTGTAAAAAGTGTAGCTAAGACAAACGCGGATCGAATGATGTGACAGGTATGTCGAGCGTGGCCGTAAGATGTAAACAGAACGAAATGTAAATCGTTCTAATGAAGATTATCGAAAGGTGAATTGAGATGTACACGTTGCTACACGGTCTGTACAAGTATTTGGTGCAAAAAGACGAGTATTTTATTCTGATACTGGGACTCGACAATGCGGGAAAGACGGTGAGAGAGACGCTTTGCGCATGGCATTTTGAGGTTATGACACGTAATCTAGCGATTACCCCCAAGATTCGTTCGCAGACTTATTTGGAAGCGGCGAAAACAAAATTCACCAAAAACTACAAGGGGATGAACCCGAGCAAAATCACAACGACCGTGGGTTTGAATATCGGCAAGATCGACATCGCCGGCGTTTCCTTCAATTTTTGGGACCTCGGTGGCCAAGAAGAACTCCAATCTTTGTGGGATAAAGTAATTAATAATAATTCAGGCTGAGTATATCATATTGTACTTCTTACCTTCGTATATTCTTCTCTTTGTATATTTTTTCCTCTTTTTTTTCTTTGTAGAAAATATTGGATTATACCTCTTATATTTTCCACTAATAAACCAGGATGACAGGCTCACTAATATTGTTCTATACTTGCAGTATTACGCAGAATCTCATGCTGTGATTTATATCGTCGACTCGTCCGACCGTGATAGAATACCGGATTCCAAAGAAACTTTTGGTAAAATACATCTTCTAAAGTAATATTTAATATTAAAATGAACAAGCAATTTGTTTCACTATAACAGTATGAGATACTTTCCTAGTCAAATCTTTCTATACCTAAATCTTTCAAAATGATTCTTAGAAATCTAAATCTGTATCAAACTTGATTGTTTATTTTAGATAAAGTTATATCATCTGAACACTTAACGGGCGTACCTTTATTGGTATTGGCCAATAAGCAGGATGTACCTGATTGCATGGGTGTCAGGGAAGTAAAGCCGATATTCAATCAAAGTGCACACTTAATTGGTAGAAGGGACTGCATGGTGATGCCTGTATCAGCTCTTAATGGGTAAATAAAGCTATTGTTTCGTAAATTTATTTAACAAAGTGATGAAAAAAACGAAACATCATCTTTTGTACTTGTCATAAGATGTGATGACTAATATTCATTTTGTAAAAGTGATGGTGTAGATGAAGGCATACACTGGCTGGTGGACTGTGTCAAGAGGAACAACGATGTACGACCACCCCGCAATCAGAATGACAGCTGCTTATCTTAAACAGAACATTCCCGCTCCACGATAAATCGTATAAAAGGAGACACTACAATGCCAATGCACTGTACATATTCATATTGCACATGTGTGTACGGTGTTTTCGTAAATAAACAAATTTTTCCTAACATGCGCACCACTTCACACATATCTTTATGATGTGGGAAAAAAAATATCTCTTCATATATATATTCTCTTCTCACTATCATGTGTAAAATTGATTAATACTTGTAATTTTGCAAACACACGCACATGACGAATATATATTAATATTCGTAATTTTTCATAATATTATCGTCAATCTGTGTTATTTCACAGAATGCTTTTACAAAGTGAAACTACCAGATTTCATCAAGATCATGGACACTGGATTTGTGTGAGTGTGTATCTGATATCAAGGTAGTCAGAGAGATAAGAGATAAATTTGCCCACACCTTGTTCCCTTCTCTATTATGTTAGTGATAAAAAGCCTACAAGACTGATCGCGCACAACTGCGTGATATATAGGTTGTGATTTTAATGCTGTACACGTCTTTTGGTGTTGTGAGTTTTTTATTTATTTAACATTATCGTATCATGTGGCCTTATTACGAAAGTGACGAATGGAGTGTTTTACCACCGGAACTCAACAGAAGGTGATTTATTAAATCTATACTGTGCTAGGCAAAGATTATATCGTTGCGAAGAGTGCACATCACGCGATTACCGTTTGATAATTGCTTCTTCCTAACATCATTCAGAGCAATATTGTGAGAAACACTGAACGATGGGCGCTCAGGCATCTCAAAGTGCTAAATACTGCCCCTCTCCAAATCTTTTGCCTCATGCAAAAATTGTACGCCACGTTAGTCATATTTTGCAGCGATGTAGACTATAAGAAACTAGGGAACACCGACCGACAGTAACGTTACAACAATGTTACGAATTCCCCACTCAATAATGTAACTGTTACAATACAACTATGTTATATTGCACTTTGTTGAGTGAGAAATTGTAACATTGATGTGATACTGATCAAAAAATTGATGTGTCCGATAAAATTACAAAAATGAAGTCAAGTAAAGTCTATATCGAGCAAAGCACGTATCTTGTAGCGCTATTATTATTATTGATTCATGTTCAAAATTAATAATGTACAATAGATGTTTACACAGTCACAATTTGTACTTGGAATCTTTGTTGATGGAATATTGCTGTTAGTTGGTGTTTACTGGGTACCCAGCCGACATTGAGCATAATTTACACAACATCTAAGTTATAATTTCGCACTCAATGATAACAACGTATGGTGTTATACTGCATTTACATTGTTGAGAGAAATTACGACACAGCATACGACTGTTCGGTGTCGACTGGATAGATACGTAAGTTCTACACCGGCATGAGAGAAATGCCCCTTCCATTTTTGCTCTTACCAAGCTGCCTCGATTAAAGTAACAGCTCTCATTCTAATTGCGTGCGTGCAGCGCGTCCAATTTTGTACCTGGAAGAAAACAATACGGCCGTAACGCTGTCGTGCAATGACACTTGCGAGAGAAGGCGCAGCGGATTCCGCTCGCGCGATTCAACAAAATCTTATCTCGGGCCGACGAGGAAGTCGCCTCCGTCTCTCACAGGTTAGGAATTAAATCGACGTGTGATTTCAGCGTGTCTCCGTTCTCTCCCGTGCCGATTCATCACACTGAGGTGTTCCCGGCATCGAAAATTGCGCAAGAATCGAGCGGTCTCGCGAGTGAGGAGACGCGGTTATTGGAAAACCGACCTCCCCCGAGATCGCGCGTCAGACTCGCCGCCGAGACGCCCTCGACGCGATATCCGAATTTCGCGCCCATGCAATGGTGCCACATCCGCGACTCTCACACGCGACGCGCAGCGGATCTCGCCGTTCACCTCCTTCCTCCTGGGCGGTCGCACCTCATGTTCGCGCGTCCCGTCGAGCGTAGGCGCGCGCGCTCACAACCCGACGAGACTCGAGTCGAAAACCCGACGATCAGATCCAACGCGGCCTCTCCCCTCGCGCGTCGTGGCCCCCATGGAAAGTCCCTGACGACGTCAGTGACGACGTCGGCGACGGCCATCTTTGAGTCCGCCGTCGCGCACATATACGTGAAATTCCGCGTGGACTCTCGTCACCGTCGACGGGACAGAGCGAAAGAGAGGGAGAAAGGGAGAGAGAGAAAGAGGGAGGGAGAAAGAGAGAGAGTGAAAGTTAAGAAAGAGGGACAGAGCATAGGCCCGGTGGAAGAGGAAGAGCGAAAGAGAAGAAGAGAGAACGGTGCACGTCGTTAGGCGGCTCGGCTATCGCGCGGGCGGGCTGCCAGCAGAGCTAGTGTGCAGTGTGTGTGGTCTGTGTGGTCGACGACCGTGAGTAGGGACTTCGCAGGATCTCGCGGCTATGTTCACGGGGTTCACGGCGCGGATCAGCGAGTAGCCCCTCCGCCTCCACGGCCCGAGACGACGTCGCGCACTGTAACGTACGTACCCGAGTCTTCGTCGGCGCGATATCGCCAGCGCGCGCTCGCCTACGCTCGGTCCCGATCTCGCGGGGGAGCGAGTTCGAGAGGAGTACCGGTGTGGCGTTCCCGAGTACCCCGAGTGCACGCACCAGCGGCGGCAGGAGGGGGCGCACGGCTCGCTCTCCGTCTCTCTCTGTCCCTCTCGCTCGCGAGACCGTCGTCCAGCACGCCGAGAGGTCGACTCGGAAGGAAAAAGCGAGGATCCGCTCGGCGCCCCGTTTCCGCTTCTCGGTACCCTGTCCGCGAGGGAAGCTGCGGCCTCCGATGTAAACACCGAAGGGGACACGACGACGTACGTTTCAACGTGGTGCACGAGCCCGCGACATTGCCACGCCGGCCCCGAGATACCGCGCTACTCCTCGTCGCCGCGTCACGGACGTGCGCGTCGTGGGCAGGAAGTCGGCCTCCTCGCGAGACTCGCGGCGGGGCCTACGTCTGACAGCTGCCTAACCCTCGACCCGGTGCCCTTCTTCGTTCCCGCGAACGGTTCCTTTATGTAAGCGCCGTCGCGCTGTGTTTTGCAATATGCCGCGGGCGAGTCGCGCGCGCGACACTCCGGGGTGTGAAATCATCGCTGCTTGTTAATATCATTATCGCTCGCCGATGCACTCTCCGAGTACGGCGTGTCCTTCACGACTCTCGTCGCCGTGAGCAACGCATTTTTGCGCGAAGCTGCGCGCCAGTGGCCTATTTCACAGAGCTTTCTTGGAGTTTGCTATCTCTCTCTCTCTCTTTGTATTTTGTCGTGTCTCGCCTATAGCGAACTGTAAACCGTGTGCAGCGCGAGGCATGGCTGTGGGTTGCTACCGTGTAATTTCATTGGTCGTTTGAATTTATGAGTCTCCGGTAATCGGGCTGTTGCTCAACTCTTGGCCAAGCGGTGACAGGTACTTTCCTCCTTTAACGAAAATCGTGAATTTTTGCTCTTACTGACTCACGTCGGGAGTAGTCAGTGATTACACCTGCACGTGCACATGAAAAGTGCATGGTGGAGGAAAGAAAAAACTGCAAGGTTGCTTTGTGAAATGGGGCGTAGCGTTGAGTATCTACCGGAAGTTTAGGTATGCGAGGTCTGAGCTGTAGGTTTGTCGTATCGTTGGCTTGAGACACTGATTTGCTATATGTAGAGTTTCGACAGAGACCGAGTAATCTGTAATCCATTAACACGATGGCTAGTATTCATAGTAGTCGGATCTTATATTTAAGACAGTCCTGAGTTTATCTCGAAAAGCTTTGTAACCAATGAGACGAGTCCCAGAGCATCTGAAGATAAATTTAAAGCAGTCTCAAGTATACGATTCGACTATGAATACCAGCCAATGTGGTACTAATGAGCTTTGTAATATCGTTTACTGTCTTGTGTGTCCACCAGGAGGATAGCAGAGTTCGTGTTTTGTACTCGTCTGTGTTTGGTTTTCATTGTGAAGCTTGTGGCATAAATTCGAAACTCTCGAGCCGAGATGAATGCCTCAGAACATGGGTAACGCATACAATCATACAATCTCATGCATGTACTTAGATTAATGCTGTTGAATCGACACGGACAGAGATGACAGTGAGAGAAATATCCGTTGTAGTCATCTTCATCTCTGATATCGCCGACATCGTACCTGTCAGTTTTCAAATTCATGTGTTTTATTTCCTAAGAATGAGCGGATGAACCTTGTACAGAGGTACAACTTTCTCACTTTAGTTTTACACTGTGTATCTTGAGATATGTATAAAATCTTAAGACAGAGATACGAGATACGTGGAAAATATCATCATCGAACGCAAGTGTCATTGCATGATGAGAGAGATTCCGCGAGGCAGGAGGCGTTTTTTATGCTTCTAAACCAGCATGGGTGTGACTTTTTCAGGTTTAACCCGGCCTTTAACATGGCCTCCATAAAGCAAGCTTTCAATGAGGCGGTAGAGAGAGGTAGGTGTATTGTTTGGTGTAATTGACTCACAATGACCCTAATAGCTAATCCTTGGAACTCGGATTCTGTTTGCTCGTTACCTGCATCTTTGTTTGCCGTCAGATCTGAAGAGCAATTGAATTAAATTACCTTTCAAGGTGATTCGAAACAAATCAATATATAAATTCCCACGAGAGAGGAGAATCTCGAGCAATTGTAGGGCGCAAGCTATAAAGCTACTTTGCGAACAGAATCAGTGGTTACCATACGTGACGACAATTAGTACTGATGACTTGTTCACACCTTGAAAGTCTCAACAGTTAGGATGCCTGCACCTACGCGGTTGAGGGATCTGATTAGACAAATACGAGCTGCGCGAACTGCGGCGGAAGAGAGAACAGTCGTCAACAAGGAGTGCGCGTACATTCGCTCGACGTTCAGGGAAGAGGACAGCGTGTGGAGATGTCGTAACATTGCAAAGTTACTGTACATCCATATGCTGGGGTTTGTATCAAGATGGCTTTATTTTTTTTTTTCTATTCCTGCATTAGGACTGCATTAGAGCTGAATTGAACTAGTGCAAACCGGAAACAGACGAGTGTAACTCTGAAGACTAAAACTGGCTTTGCTACAAGAATAACATGGCGCGTTATATCTGTAGAATTAAACGGTTATTGTTTTCCGTAGTAACTGGCGACGGTGTTCTAACTTGTCTATCTGAATGTTAAATGCTATATATTAAGATGTAAATATTGTAAAGTCTTTTCAGTGTCGAGAAAAGCTACTTTCATACTTGCTATTTGATTTTTATTTTGATAGCTGTGCGTTAAACGTCTAAGCGTGTAAACTTTGAAAATAGAAGCGATAAAACGCAATTTTGATCATTTAGGACGTATTGCCATACATGTCGTAAACGTTGGAGCAAAAGTGCAGTAATTTCATGATAACGATACAGGTTACTTAGATCCATACTCTGAATTCACTTTTATCGACAAAGTGCCTTAAATGTGATCTCTCAGCCAATCAAGTTCCTGAGCCACTTAGAGGCGCCTTTATCGATCTAAATGAATTCAGAACGTAGACCCTAATTTTTCTTGCACTCTTGTTCGGGATTGCCGTTCCAACTGCCTTTGACTCCAGACTTAGTGCGCGGACAGTTCAGCGAACTCTTGCGATGAGTTCCACTCCACTGGAATGGAAAACAACGTCGTTGACACCGGTTCTGGAATAGGAAGCTCTCGAGAGTAGACTTCTTGAAACAATGCAGCCAGTACAGAAATAGAAAGCGAACCCTGCATTATACCCGATATCGCAATGCTCCGTTATTAAAGAGGCACGTCGATGTTGTTACAGATACCCGGCGCACTTCGGCCAATTGGAATGCTTAAAGCTCATCGCTTCGCCGAGATTCACGGACAAGCGAATCGGTTACCTGGGAGCCATGTTATTATTGGACGAACGGCAGGACGTGCATCTGTTGATCACGAATTGTTTAAAAAAGTAACAAGGCTCTCTATTCCCCTTCGGAGGAGCGCGCGCTCCTCTTTCCGGCGCGCGAAACCTTCAACGAAGGAGCTTCACCGCTCTCGTCTGTTCGCAGTGACCTGAACAGTTCCACGCAATTCGTCATCGGTCTGGCGCTGTGCACCTTGGGCGCGATCGCGTCCCCGGAGATGGCGAGGGACCTGGCTGCCGAGGTCGAGAGACTGATGAAGTCGCCGAACGCGTACATACGGAAGAAAGCGGCGCTCTGCGCCTTTCGGATCATCAGGCGCGTGCCGGAGCTGATGGAGATGTTCCTGCCGGCGACTCGCAGCTTAATCACCGAGAAGAACCACGGGGTCCTCATCACCGGTGTCACCCTCATCACGGAGATGTGCGAGAACAGCGTTGACACGTTGAATCACTTCAAAAAGGTACAGCCGAGAGAGATACACACATATATATAAATATATACATCACACATCATATTTCCTTTTCGTACGTTAGTCCTAGAACAGGTTTACCGTAGGAACACGGCTCGATGTCGTAAATCTGCCCGCTGATCGAGTCATAGCGTTGCATCACGTAACTCATCAACGACTGGTGTATAATTAGAGCCTAGTGTGTCGTCGATATCGAGGTTAGACGGTAGTACGGAAAGCCGCAGAGAGATGTATCTAGTGCGTACCGGTAGTGCAGCTACCTGTTAGACGATTCGAGCTGCGATTGTTCGTCATTGGTGATCAGATAGCGCGCGTCCAGCGTGCGGAAAAGAATGCAGTCTTGACTCTCGTACGAGCACAGATACGTGAAGACGAAGCGCGCCCGGCGGGATAGAATGCCTTGCGGTTGGCGTTCCGCGTTTAATTATTCCCGGTGATTTTCCGCGAGGGAAATTCCCGCGTTCTAACATCGCATCGTCGTGATTCCAAACACGTTCTCTCATCTTCATTCTTAATACGCGTTCTCCTTCGCTCGGACAGCCTCGGTGCAAGCGCACGCGAATCTCTTCTATACGGAGGAAATAATTCATAGTAAAGATTACAAAATTTCGTAGTACTGCACCGGAATTGTGTCTGAAATTATTAGAGGAAGGGATGACGTGGCCTCCTATTTGTATTTTGTATAACAACTTTGTCAATTAAGATTTTAAATTGAAAACTGAACGTTTGTTAGTGTTTTGTTCAATCGATTCTGGACTCAAATTTATGAAATATTTATTGTTTAGGACGTTATTTATAAAAATGTGACGGCACATATAACGGGTCGAAGAGGAACAGGAATGGTAATGTGGCCCTCCTACTAAAATTGATTTTGTTTAAATAGTACAGTGTTTTGTTATAAATTTATATACTTATTCAAAGTAAACTCTTAGAAGTAATAACAATGAATATAACCGTGAATTTTTAATGTAGATAGACTTACTTGCCAGAAGATAAATACAAACTTTCAAAGACAATTTACTACGAAGTGCGAATAGACTTTAAACTTAACTTGAATTATTGATTTATTGAATAATTACTTCGACATGGAAACCTCGAAAAAGAGGCCGTATTAAATCTATTTTAGCGCGAAACCAGATTAGCAAAATGCTATGTTATTCTTTAACTTTGCATAACTCGGAATGTGCACAGCGGAATAAAATATTAAATGACGAACAAAACACTCAAATATACATGTATTCGTGTGATAATACACTTAAGTTTAAGAAAAGTGAGGAATTCTATATAATTAAATGCTAAAAATGATTTGAAAACTTGTAAGATAAAAAGACTTAACAACTGTTGTCTATTGTGTATCGGCGTATTAACGCCGCTGCGTAACGGCAGGCTATTAAACAAATGATTACATAAATAATCACTAGGATTCACCACCTAATAGCGGAAGTATTAAGAGGGGCTATAATACCACCCCTTCCTGTATGTGTGCTGTAATCTTTAGTGATGTGTACAATGAGATACATCACTAAAGATTACAACACATATCATGATTTTAATTAGAATTCCGGTATGGTTTAGCATTACAAAATTTGGCGGTAATCTTTATTACAATATTTTCTCCATTGTACTCTCTTTCTTCGTTGGGAGGGACATCGTTCAATTGTGCGGAGCAATCTCTCTCTCTCTTTCTCTCGCGCGCGAAATTCTTAATGCAAAATCTAACTCCGTTAAATTTACCACATCCGAATGTATGCATAATATAAGCGTTGGTTTTGTCTTTCTTAGGAATGCGGCCATCGTGAGGTAATATGCATAAAAACGTATTCTCTGTATCTTTGCATGTATGCTTGTTACACAGACTTCATTCTTTTCTTTTATCTTGTCCAAAGCGAACTTGCTCGAACTGCCAAAACATGAAATCGCCGTCGCCTGCTTCGCCACGTTTTTTTTTTTCTCTTAATAGCTAAGTTGTGAAAAGATACCGAAGCGTTTCGTCGTATTCGTACATGTCAACTTTATAGGTATATGAATACACGAGTACCATTCTAGCTTATTGTTACACGCGCGAATTCGATATACGCGAATAATAGTTACGCGTCCGGAAAGATGTTGTTGCGACAGTAATTGTAATATTCGTAATCGGCATGATGGCATCTGGTATAGCTGCATGTTTATTTCGGCTTGCTCGTACGTAGAGATCTCTCTTCCTCTTGTCATATGTATTCTGTAACTGAGCAGCTTGCAGCAATCGATATCTGAGGGTAACACGATCGTTTCTGAGAAAGTTACTTTCGACTGGCTGAGACTCAGGCCTCTTTCGAATATTATTCGAATGAATCATGCGCCTCATTAATTATACTTCTATTGTATTACGATCACGCTTATATATACATGAATCATATCAGGTCAGTTCAGAAACTCGGTTCGATTTTCTGTCTCCTTTATCCTATCAGACGGATGCTGCCAATACATTGGCAAAGGATCACGGATCCACGATAACGGTGATTATTCAGTGGACAGATTGTTTGCATTCCGTCGAATATGGCAAAGTGAAATTCGACTCAATAATTGAACCGAGCCTTTTGACTGGCCCAATATTTCATAGCGAATTCGATCACCCGCACTACACACCGGACCGGTGCGTGCTGAAGGCTGCTGCATATGAAGCGGTTATTTAAGAAGATGGTAAGGTGAAATGAGTTTGAAAAGAATTTAATGAAACTTGCCCTACGTATGCATTGAAATATTATTTAACTGCTCGTGCAATTAGAAAAAGATTGACCACTCGAGAATTGAGACATTTGCAACTAAATTTGACACATTTTACACGTTTTTATTGAGATTACCGTGCTATTTTTAATTTCTGTTTTTTGTGTCTTCTATTAAAAATAAAGACTACACTAAAAATAACTAACTAAAAATAAAGACTAAACTAAAAATAAGATTTTGGTGAAAAATACTGTGATATTAAAGAAACTAATGTATAGACATTATATACACAAATTTCAGAATTATTGACCATTTTGTTTTCGAAAATATAGCTCAATGTAAAGTTTATAATTTAATAATAATATTCGAAATGTGCATATATACACATTTAAAATTTATATATTTAAACACTTTTTATATTACCTGTGTATCTCTGTTAAATCAACTGATGCATAAATACAGTAGCATTAATAAGAATAATAAGAAATAATATTTCGTGGATGAAATATTATACATATATATGTTTAAATTTCGTTTCAAATTAATTTATTATTTAGGTAGCAAAATAAATATATAAGAACGCAAATTGGCTCGATTCACACTAAATTTATCAATAATCTCCCTTGATGCGGCACTAAAAATATTACACTGAACCTTATAATCTCCTTGAATAAAAAAATCATGTAAGAGCATATCGAGCGATTAAACTCTTAATAACGATATTGTCACTTGACGAAATATCAATTATTTTCACTATATTGGATACTTTATGCGCAGCGGCCTTTAGTGCGTTATTACTTCGGTGTTTAATCGCAAGTTGATTGAATTCATTGTTACTATACTTTGGTAAATGTTACATACGAAAGTCGTACATGTATGTGATTCCACAAATGGTTTGTTCCGTCGATCGTTAATTACATATTCGACGTTGACATGTTCGAGTTAAGTGGAACACGACATCGTCTGCGGGATCGAGTGGTGATGAACAGAGGTCTCGTTGCAGATCGTGCCAAATCTCGTAAGAATCTTGAAGAATCTGATCCTAGCCGGATACTCGCCCGAGCACGACGTGTCCGGAGTGTCCGATCCGTTTCTCCAGGTGAAGATACTGCGTCTGCTGCGCATCCTGGGACGCAACGACGTCGACGCGTCCGAGGCCATGAACGACATTCTCGCTCAAGTCGCGACCAACACGGAAACCAGCAAAAATGTCGGCAACACGATACTGTACGAGACGGTTCTCTCCATCATGGACATCAAGTCGGAGAGCGGACTGCGGGTTTTGGCGGTCAACATACTCGGCAGATTTTTACTGAATAACGATAAGAACATCAGATACGTCGCCTTGAACACGTTGCTGAAGACGGTTTACGTGGACACGAGCGCGGTGCAGAGGCATCGATCGACGATTCTGGTGAGACACCTATCTTCAAACTCACTTTCGCCCGAGAAATGAAGGCTTTGTTTTCTATTCCTGTACTGGAACTGCACCAGAACTGAGCCAAATTAATGCAGGCTGGAAGTCTGTTTTCTGTTTCCTGAAAATTGATATATATACGTTTCTTGAACTAGTACAGTCAGTATGGGAATAGAAAAGAAACCTGAAATCTGGAAGCGTTCATTGCGATTAATGTTATTGTTTCTCAGGAGTGTCTGAAGGATCCTGATGTATCGATCAGAAGGCGCGCGATGGAGCTGAGTTTCGCGCTGGTGAATTTCAGCAACATCAGGAACATGATGAAGGAACTGCTGTTGTTCTTGGAGCGAGCGGATCCGGAATTTAAGGCTCAATGCAGCAGCAACATCGTGATGTCCGCGGAGAGATTCGCGCCCAACAAGCGTTGGCATCTCGAGACGCTGTTCAAAGTGCTCGTCGCGGTATGTACCTGCGGGATTGCTAAACGAACACGGCGTCACGATTGTTGAGGTCTCCTTACTTGCACTTCAGGCTGGCAATTACGTGCGAGACGACGTGGTGGCGTGCACGATACAGCTGATCTCGGAGACGCAGACTCAACAGGGCTACGCTGTGAGCGCGTTGTGGCGGGCGTTAGAGAAGGATACCTCCGACAAACAGCCGTTGGCGCAAGTGGCCACATGGTGCATCGGCGAGTACGGCGATATGCTGCTGTACGGCCCGCCATCAGAGGAGGCCGAAACTCCGATCAATGTGAGTCGATCAGCTACTTCATGATATTACACAGTAAGAAATTCTGTGTTAAATTCAACACACTTCACATTTCCCCGAAACGGTTCACGCTAATTTTTGTGTTAATTTAACACAAGGTGGGTATGTTGAAAAGTAACATAAATATCATGTCAAAAATTAACACAAAATTAATATCCGTAATATTTTAATCAACACCGAGAAGTGTAAAATGTGTTATTTTAATACATGTTGAATATCGACTTAACACAAGATTTCGAGGTAACATAAACACAATGTGTATGCTAAAGTAACATACGGGTATGTTAGAAATTTAACACAACATACATGAACACAATATGTATGCTAAATTAATATACGGATATGTTAGAAATTTAACAAAAAAATTTTAACAAGGACCGATTTTTGAACATAAGTACAAAGTGTTTTTTATTATGGTAGACTATACGTTTTCAAACAATATGTTCTTATATGACATTGTGTTTCGCATATTCAGTGTCCTAAGTTTAGGATTCACCAAAGAAATTTACCAGGAAATGTCCTGGCTCGTACAATGATTGCAAGCGTAAACTTTCAGACAGGGTGTAAGATTTAATGACTCAAATCAAAGCCAAGATGATTTTATTTAACTTTTCCTTGTTAACATCAAGTTTGTATTAGTAATTCCTACTAATTCTTTGCTAATATAGCCCGCATAAGAGTACTGATAATACGATCTTTTTTGCAGGTTTTTATATCGAAGTAGTTATTCAATAAGTCGATTCTAACCTATAGTTCATTGCTGCACCTTTGTGTGCATTGCTATCCTCTGACAGATTATACCTTCTGACAATATAGAAATAAGTCAGTATTTACATTAAAAATTTACGGTTATATTCATTCCTTTGTAGTTATTCTTTCTAAGAGTTAATTTTAAATATATATATAATTTTACGACAAAATACTGTGTTATTTCAGGCAAAACCAATTTTTAACATTTATTTTAGTTGAAGGCTATATTACCACTCTTGTTTTTCTTCAACCCATTATGCAGTATCGTCACATTTTTATGAATAATGTCCTAAATAATAAATCAATTTTATAACTTTGAGTCTCGAATCATTTAAACGATACTTTGACGGGTGTAATCGTTCAGTCCTCAATTTAAATTAATGTTGGCTATTGACAAAGTTGGCAAAAACGGGGCCCCAATACCACCTTTCGTCTGCTAATTATTATATTAAGAAATCATCAATTATTTTTGCAGCATTAGTCACGTTTTTTCGTGAACGCATCGATCTAGGTAGACGTGTGATTTCAATCTGATAGTGATATACCTGAAATTTTCTTGCCGTAGCTGACGGAGGATGAAGTAATCGATGTTTATCAGAGGTTGCTCTGGAATCCGCAGAACACTGTGGTCACGAAACAGTACACCTTACTGTCCCTCACGAAATTGAGCACGAGGTTCCAGAAAGGTCACGAGTCAGTATCGCTTTCGAGTGTCCGCGACTATCTTAAGAAACCCGCTCCCACGCTGCGACGTAATGTTCTGTAATCACGTGATACTCTGTTATTACAGGAAAATTCGTCAGATCATTGATACGTTTGGTAGCAATTTGCATATCGAATTACAGCAGAGAGGAATCGAGTTCTCGCAGTTATTCCGGAAGTATGATCACCTGCGGCCCGCGTTGCTCGAGAGAATGCCGCCGATGGAAACCGCGCGACCGCAGGCAAACGGTATTATAGGCATGGTGAACGGCGAGCCGGAACCGGAAGATGAAAAGTCTACGATAATCGAACCAGCCACGACCACATCCGATTCAGTGAGTGTATAACGTATTACTTAATTCCTCCCTTACGCAGACGTAGGAGCGACTTTTTTTTTTAACTGATCATATTTTTTTTCTGTTACCAAGAATGAAACTCACTTTTCTCATACTTTTTCACTGTTAATGTCTGCTTGTGTAATTATATCGCATTTAACCTTAGATATACGTCTCGTGACGTTAATTAAGTTGAAGGATTAATTATCAAATTTCCTACTTCAATCCTCGTACTACTTGTCCACTTTTGACCTTAAGAAATAATACCGCAACGAACGGATACTTGATTTTGCGCGATTTTGCAGAGTGCACTTTTAGACTTACTTGGAACTACGGACGTGGGAGTGACGATGCCGGCAACGACTAATAAAAATCCCTCGCCGGGCTCGACCGCGGTGGCGCATAATAATGACCTGTTGGACTTGCTCGGAAGTTTGGATTTGAACACACCCACGTCCGCGCCCACGCTACCGCCACAACCGCAGGCGACTACGCCGATATTCAGTCCCACTAACACCAGCAGCAGCTTCCTGGTGGATGGATTGCTCAGCACCCCGTCGTCGGTTCCAAACGGTTCGTCTTGGTGTCTAAAGCAAAAGAGGGACATCTCGATCATCAGTTCGCATGTGCATCACTTGGATTTGTAATTGCAGATGCACCGAGCATGGTCGTCTTGGACAAGTCGGGGCTCAAAATAACGTTCAAATTAGAAAGACCGCCCGATATTCCCGATTTGTTGGTCATAAATATGTTGGCTCAAAACTCCGGAAGCATCGTTCTTACCGACTTTCTCTTTCAAGCAGCAGTTCCTAGGGTTAGACGCGAATTATGTGCAATTTGAAAAGCCGTAAGATCACTCGTCGTACATCAGACTGACTCACCACGCGTTTTCTATTTACAGACATTCCAACTACAAATGTTACCGCCCTCGAGTACCGTCATTCCGCCGTCTGGTCAAGTAACTCAAGTGCTGAGAGTCACGAACATGAACAGAGTTAGTCACGAATATCCATATATCTATCGGCATGACGTCCAAAACTGAGACTATCAGATTTTCTAATCTCCGTCTTCTTTCCAGGCACAATTAAGAATGAGATTACGTATATCGTATACAGGCCCGGCCGGACCAGTTCTGGAACAAACGGAAGTGAATAATTTCCCCGTCTCGACATCACAGTGACAAGATGTAATACAAAAAACATTTGTACATATGCCTGCCTAAAATAATTAATCGAGTCTAAAGACAGACTGAGAAAAGGAAAAGAAAAAAAAAAGAAAAGAAAAACACACGCAATGGCGGCGTCTCTCCGTCGTGAGGAACAGTGAAACATACTTGGCAAATGGATATATCTCTAACAACACAAACGTTTTCAATTAATTAAGCAACTGAACCCTTGCATATGCAGCGTGGACGAGACGTGGTCGAAACTTCGTGAGGGACTCTGGGCTCGAGACGGGATGGCGAAATGCGCGATTTCATTTTCGCACGTTCGATTGCCACGCGTGTGGCTCATTCAACGGTTCGCAGGAATGAATATTTCCCAAGGAAAGGTATCAATAATTATAATTCTCTCGGCGCGCGTGCGTGTATATGCGAGAGCTGTCGCGGAGTCTTTCGTGATTTTGCTCGCGTGTCATTGCCGTCATTATCGTTTTCGCATCACTTTATTACGTGGGAGAAGGACGAGAGGACGTGTAAGTGCTTCTCGTACATGGTGTGCCGCGTATGTGTGTGTGTGTGTGTGTGTGTGTGTGTGTGTGTGTGTGTGTGTGTGCGTGCGTGCGTGCGTGCGTGTGTGAGAGAGAGTGGGAGAGGAAGAGAGAAGAAAGATGTAAATATTTTTTCTAAACTAAAACACGCGGAGGTGTTGAAGAAATATTGTATTCGGTCGCATTCCCGTCGTTTTACGGCTACTAATTTAGCGCGTAATTTCTCACGTAGGCTAAAAAAAAAGTGAAATAGGAAACGGAGATATAGAGAACAAATAAGACGAGACAGGTACATATATAAATATACACACATACACATACACACATGCCACTTGAGAGAAACACACCGATTCAGGAAGGGAGGAGGAGTGTTCCGTCACCGAAAGTGCTGTCGCGCTGCCCCAAGTTATCGACGAGAAGGCGCTTAACTCTCGCTGTAACAAATCGATCTTTTTCTACTACACATTTGTAAGTAAGACGCCGGACGACGCGATCGTTCTGTAAATAATTATTAGATAATCGCAATGACTCTGTAGAAGTGTGAGGAAATTCTTACCACGGGGGACAAAAAGAGATAACACGGAAATACGAAACGCGGATTCTTTCTAATATATGTACACGCAATAGAGAACCATCGATTCAATAACGAGTTAACATCTACGATTTCTTTTCGTCTTCGAAAGATATATCATTCTTTTTTGTAAAGGGGGAATATATACAGGGTGGTTTGAAAGCCCGAAAATGGCCAATTATCTCAGAAGAAAATCGGTTTTAGGAAAAAAATATTCCGGACAAACTTGCAGCGTTCAAAAAATTACACTATGTGGCAATGCTTCGTGATCTTAAAATGATAAAATAAATGGTGCCCCCACTTTTTATTACCTATTTTGATAACTGACATCGTGGTCTTTAAAAAATACTATAATAATGTCCAATTTGGGTCTTTAGTTCAGAAACTAGAAGAATTAAATATTGACGTGTCATCGACATCAGTATTGCCCGATGGGAATCACGGAGGAATTTTCTTGGATCATACAAAGAGTCGATTGTGTGATTGTCTCCTTTCGGAGCCATATGATGGGCAAAGTCTGACCAAGCAGATCACTATTTAAATCTTCTAACTTCTGAATTTAAAGATGAAAATTGGACATTATCATAGAATTTTGTAAAACTCTCGACGTCATTTATAAAAATCTTTAATAAGAAGTTCCTATTTAAGTTTTTTTTTAGGTCATCTTGACGGGTTATTCCAAGGTGTGTCAAAGTCACAGAGACGTTGCTGTCTAATAGACTTTTTCGAACATTGCAAGTTTTGTCTCAAACTTTTTTCCACGAAATCATTTCGGAGATAATTAGCCGTTTTCCGGACTTTTAAAGCATCCTGTATAACACACACACACACGCACGCACACATACAAAATACTCTTATACAGACGCCTACGATGCATAAGTGTGTTACGTGCGTAGCAATTCACACAGTTTCGAACGTATTCGGAGTACAGAGTAACATTGGAGGGCTGAATTCTGATTGTCATGTTATCTGTCGCGCGTATGTATGTATGTATGTTGGACTCGCCGCATCCGAGTTTTATCGCGAGAGACCGGGGCTATCTCGTTGTCGATATTATTTCAACGAAGTCTTGCAGAACTGCGTCAGAACAATATCTAACGATCTGCGAGACGCGTGCAATCGCGTCGATAGTGTTCTCTCCTGGCTCGATTCGATATTTTTATCAAGTTAATTCTATAATACGAAACAATCGCGACGTTGTGAGCGGGTGAATGCAAACAGTGACACACACACTTAAGTAATATTCTCGTCTGGTCGAAAGATTGTAACGCAAAGCGGGTGGGGAACGAGATTCTCGGTGTTTCAGAATTGATTTTATCGCGCGAACTCCGCAACCAGGTCATGCCAGTTTGTACACACACAGAGGTCAAGAGAACGTACAGAAAAGTCAAGGAGTAATTGTACATGCGTTGGAAAGCGAAAAACACACACAGTCGGCTCTACTTCTGAAGTTATTCCGTGTTCAAACCGAGGAGAAGGCCCTCGAGTTGCGCGCCGGTCATTCACGCAGAATTGATCGCTGAATAACTTGGTGTGCGCGCGTTCGTTGGTTTCTCGCCGTCTAATTTTAGAATTTTCATTTTAACGCTCGATTCGAATCACACTCGCAGCGTGTCGCTGTGAGCGACGTCGCTTGTACATGTATATATGTCCGGGAGAAGAGAGAAATGTTCGAATGTAACTCGCTCATACTTAACATCATGTTCACATACGATTTTATATATAAATATAAGTAAATAGATATACGTGTATATTTATATGTAAAATCGTGGTATATATATATATATATATATATATACTTTGTCGGATTTTTACGCGAAAGCGTCTGTGACAAGGGACAAATGTGAGTTCTATATAGATATACAATTTAGAAAGAATAGCGTGCCGGGAGCAATAGTTGGCGAACCGTTTCCAGATATCTATTTTCTCTAGATTTTCCTACGAATTAGGTTAAAAAAAAAAGAACGGAACACGCTGATTGTACTTAATTATTTAATTCGCTCCGTGATGTGACAGCATTATAGCGATTATACTTGTAAGTGTAGATGTGTATATATATATATATATATATATATACACACACACACACACATATATATATATATATATATATATATATATATATATAAATAATCATAAAGGTTCTCTCATTTTTAGAGCGTCGATCTGGCACCTTTTTTTCCAATTCATACGTCGTACGTTTCCTTCTAATTTTTTAACCGAAAAAAAAAAACATTTTTATACAACTTCTCAGAGGTTTGCGATTAGGTTTACGATTGAGTACGCAATTCTACGCATTTTAGCTCCGTCCCTGAATACGTTGTTGTGCGAGATGCGAGAGAAAAAGAGAGAGAACGAAAATGCGAGGCGTAGGAGTTATATTAGAACAGGTGGGTGCGTTTCTGAGTGGCCTTGTCCTAAAGTCTGTGACACAGCGCGTCAGCCCTTCAGTGGGTGTTTGCTCTGCCTACTTGTTCTGAATATTATATATTAGTTTTATAAACATACCTATAAATATATATATATATACATACACGAGGATATTGATTAATGATAAAAATGCTGTATATATACTTTCTAGCGAATCGAGGTGTGAAAATAAAATGTATTTTTATTCCATTACGTTTTCAGAATCCGCCGTTCGTGTGTACTCTGTGTGCGTGCGTGCGTGTGTGTGTTCCGTAGAGCCGTAGGAACTATGGAAACGTTGTTCTCAATTCGACTGTGCAATAATCACAATTATCGATAATTTATCCACCTTTATTTCTCGATCTTAAAAATTTCACACGACGATCTCCCGTCAAGCCGAACGATCAGCTCGATCGAACTTAACGTCTTACGAACTAAGGAGTAACTGTTCCAGAAATCAGTTTTACAAGATACATAGGTTTAATTGCAAGTACACAAGTAACTGAGATACCGTCATCGCGCACATTACGTACAATCTCATTATTTCTGTTGAGGGTCGCTCATGTTGCCGCCGACGTGGTTGAACAGCCTGTCCTTGATTATTTGCGCCATTAAACCGTGAATAACCTCGATGGTGGTCTTACAACTGTCCCTGGTGGCTTTGATGAGTTTTTCCACCGTGCTGCGATCATGGGGATCTGTGCCACCGAGGACAAATCCTCTACCTAACGCGACCTCCGACTGCTCCAGCTTGTCCGATAGATCAAAAATTTGCCCAGTAGTGTAATCCGCATTCGTCAACAAGCTAGAAGAGCTCAGGGTGTTCACCCAGTACTTATTCCACAATGAGTCGAGAAGTCGTCTGTCCAGCGAGGACTTGAAGTAGGACACCTCCAAGGAGTAGTACTGTTTGCAATGAACACCGAAGTCTTCGATTTTATTCAAGGGTATTGTCTGGTACTCCGACGGCTCCTCATTCGCAGGTTTATATCCCTGCAAATATAGAATTCGTTGCAATAACGCGTGATAACGATATATCTGGTAGAGAGGCAAACGAGATATTAAAAGTTCAGAAGGGAGAAAATACTGATATTTTTATTTGATCGGTCAGAGTTTTGGTTCGATTTTCGAGTTAGTATACGATTATTCACAATTTCTTAACATTACACTGAGAAAAGGATTTGGTAAGAAGTGCTAGAATTTAGTGAATATTTGCCGACCAAATATTTAATTATTGCGATCAAATAATTTAATTCCTTACACTAAATATAAAATATATGGGACCAAATTATTTCACTGAAGTAATCAAATATTTGCCAAATTTTAATAAGAGTTGCCACAGTCCTGTGGAGTCAGTTTCCGGAGAACCGGGAAAAATCATGGAAATGTAAAATATCGGGGAAAGCCTGGAAAAGATCAGGGGGAGATAGATTCCTGACCAATCCCGTTTAATACTTATTACCAAATCCTTTTTTCAATGTACTAATGTAACCGTGTAACATCGTTTATTCCAATATTAATAATGTTAATAATAATAAGCCTGTCGACTGATATGAGAGATAATTCGAAAATATAGCAACGCACCTTAGGGTAAGTCCTGAATGCACCTAGGCAAACTTTGCCAGCGGATATGGTTCTCACGGGATCGATGACGATCGCGACAAACGGTTCTTGGAAGTTCTGATTGAGCATCTGAGTTGACACATCGATACCTGACAACCAGCATCCATATCCTGGGTGACTGTGGTACCAGCCGATTGCATTCTCTTGTCTACCGACCTAAAGCATGGAATCAATTGTAACTGATTATTGTCATACTCCTATATATCACACAAAGCATTTGTTGTTACAAAGATGTACTTATACATACTTGTTTAGCTGCTTCTATATAAGCTGTCATGTACTCGTAGGCTTGAGCTTGAGCGTTCACTCGAGTTTCAGTCCCTTCGACTGGCAAGGCGAAGGAATCCATGACAATCATTGTGTTAGCTGTTACTTTACCAAGCAGGAGGCCCATCACCTCCAGTGTTCCACCCGATCGTGCGTGCATGACCATTTTCAGTAAAGCTAGCGCGGATATCTTGATGTCTTTGAAAAAGTGTGGGCTGAAAGTGAAAGATGGGATACAGTCCGCGACTTTCGTACATTTCAGTCATAACTTACTCTTTCTCCCATGGCTTGGCAGTTAATATGTCCTGCTGCTCTTTCCTGTCGTATCTGTAAATCTCGTCGATTGTGCTGATGGTCTCGACGTTATTCGCCAGTTCCCATGTCTTCTGTGCGATGGTATTCTGGTCCGAAGACGTGCTAGCCATACTTTCAAATAAATCATCGTTATCAGACCTACCGCTCACGTTTATCGATAATGGTGCATTTGAGTTATCTTTTCGGTCAATCGTTAATTCACTATCATCCATTCCTTCTATTAACAATGCATTATTATTATCCATGGACATGAGTAAATCTCTATAATCCATCTGTGCGTGTGTATATGTATGTATGTGTGTATGTGTGTGTGTGTGTGTGTGTGTGTGACAAGCGGCAATAAATGATACGGGTAAACAAGACAATAGAGACAACGAATCTATCGTGGTGTCGGAAAGTGACTGTGTGCTCGTTGTGTATAGCGTGACAATGTAGGCATGTAGGAATTGGATAGGCAGAGGTGATTTTTTTTAGCGAGTGTAAATAAGCGTAGAGATTGTTACGTATCGCGCTACTTGGTTTACTAAGAGTGCAAACGGTACGTTCCCAAAGCAAACATAAATCACTTCATGTGCGAGAGGTTAAGCTCATCGGAGGGCTCATCGGATTGTCAACACTGTTCAATGCTAATTATTGCAAAATACGTGTATACTAACTGGACGTTAGTCATTCGTATTTCTCTAAGGTACAATCGCGAATCACGGCTCAGTCGGTCACACAGGCATAGCTTCGACTAAATGTTTGGAATATTTATCACGTCCGTTGGGCCTTTCTGTCAGTCAACTATGCGCTCGCGGCCAGAGGTTAGGGATTTGACACGATGTGACGCGAGGTTCGTTCGTGTTGCTTTCACTTTTCGTACTTCGAACGAAAACGAACGCATACTCGGACACTGGAAGAGGCAAGAACGAGCAGATCGAATGCGAAAAGTGCGAGCAACATGAACAAACCAATAGTCGCGTTCAGCGGAACGTTTACCTTGCGACTGTTGGAAGTTTCCCGAGCTGAGGTTGGATTATTGTTTTTTAGATCTGGAGGAATAATCCAATCTTAGATTATATGGGATAGAAAACTTCCGACGGTTGCAAAATAAACGTCGGGGGTCAATTATAAATCTTTCCCTCCAACGTGAGCCCTTGAAAATCGAACGTTCTCGTACGCTTTTATGTTGGAAAATTTTATTGGAAAATTTCGAAAATTTTCGCTTCCCACGAATTCACGCTAGAGGAAAAAGAATTCATAATTGACCTGAACGTGGCCATTATTACATTGCTTGTTGAATATTTAGGATACGATCCACTTGAAGCTGCGAACACTTTGAAATGTTTAGTAAAAAGACACGATTGGTGTGTACTCTTCAAAGCGTTTGCAACATGAAGTGAATTCTACTTTTAGTGAACTCTTGCGTTCGATGACTGACGTTTCTTTTAGATCTAAAAATATATCCCAATTAAATGCAAGAGTCCATTGGACGGTGCGACGAATGTATTCAGATCATGTATTGATCAACATTGATCTGTTCTTTTCAGCTGAACTGGTTACTTTAGACCCGATTTCACCAACGCGAGTTGATCAAATCGGTCGATTAGATTCGTTATTAGACAGATGCAATTGGTCAGTTCCAATGAACAAACTGAATTTAATCGACTGATTTGATTAACTCGCGTTGGTGAAACCGAGCATTAGTTCAAGAAATTTACATACGCACTGAAACATTATTTTTAACGTTTCGGTTAAATATTGTCAACGGTATTAATTATTTCAGTCCAATATTTTTTCCAGTTGTACATATACGTGGTCGTGTTTCAATTAATATGTTAAAATTTGAAAAGATTTCTAAAGAAAATAGATTTTCAGATCAATTCAAACAACATATATGTCTAAAAGACGTCTTATTGTCGTTTCTACGACGTCTTAAGTCGTCTTAACCCATTTCGCTCCTTTGTTGCTACATAAGAACAACAAATTTACTCATTTTCAAACATTTTTTTATCTATGATAAAGGTAAATTTTAGCCCAGAACTTCCTACTGAAATATAGTTTGGATTTTTGCCTTTCAGAAAATAATTTCACCTGTCCACCACCCATCATTCTCCGGCGTTAGGTGGGATGATGGAAAATAACCCTGCAAAACATTGCAACATTGCACACATTTTTAATTTATTGCCTTACCTTTTTAATTAATTAATTAAAAATAGTGACAAATAGAAAAATTTAAAGAACAATGATGATATATTGTTGCCAAAAGTTCAAATCGTTGAAAAGGACGATTCCCATCATGATATGATTCACCAGGTGTACGTCAAGTGTCACTCAAGGTAGATATTCCGACTATTTCCCGTAGAAAACGGCTGGTCGGGAAATTCTGATTTTAGGTTTTTCATGTTTCTAGGGCTCCAATTACCCTAAATTAATATTTGGATCTCATGGATCTCAACATTTCTGGGGTCCGAAATGAGTCAATGTTACTTGGGAACTACCTCGAATATTCCTCTGGACGCAGAAAATCCGCTCAACCGAGTAAAATGTCCGCGTTATTCACGATTGAGTACCGGTCTCGCAGTTTCAAGCAATGCTTCGTTCAATATTTCCCCTCCCGGAATTCACCCTGGAATTCTCTCTTCAATCCACCACCCTCGACCACCCTCGAGCGGTGTGTCCTCTTCGCGATTTAAGTTTTGCACGCGATTCGCCGAGCGTGCGCGCAAAGAGTCAAGCGAGCGTCCAACGCTTAACCCTAATTACTCCTCGTTCTCCACCTTCGTCCCCGCGAGTCTCATCGTACGAACGCAAAAATCCGTTCTGACGGCTGCGAAGCGAGAGATAACTCGCGGTGTCGCGATCGAGCGCGACAATCGCCGGCGTGACTCGCGTAGTGCCAACAGGTTAGGCCGGCGAACGCCACATTGCTCGGTGTTGGCCGCCGCGTAGCGTAGTGCGCGCGTGACGTTACCCCGGTGAGAGTGTCTGTCAGAGACAGCGTGGCTCGACGGGTGGTGAGTTCTCGCCCGTCTGTCGTGTCGCGTTCGTCTTGCGGTGAGCACTCCTCGGTGGCGCAAGATGGTCGCGATGAAAGGACGCAAGAGCTCGAGCAAGAATCCGCCGATATTCAGCCATGAATTCGTCATACAAAATCATGCGGACATCGTCTCCTGCGTGGCGATGGTCTTCGTCGTCGGCTTGATGGTGCAGGTTGGTGGATACTCGTCGATATCTCCTTGCCGGCGTTCTATGTCGACGTCCTTCGTCCTGTAGTCTCGACTGCGTTCGATCTCTCTCGAACGAGACGATTTCGGAAGAATCGCAGCCGCGCGCTCGGCTTCCGCTTTGTTTCTGCATCTCGCGTCAAGCGGGAACTCCGGGAATTTCGATGGAATGTGGGAAAGTGGGCCGACCATATGTTACGGATCGTAAATCCGCAGTAGAGATTGATCGAATCAGGTCTAGTCGCAGGAGATTACCCGTCGTTTGTATTTGTGAGACATGTACTCGTCTCATGAGAATCCGTTATCGATACACTATTGATGATATTTTAATTTTAATTATAAATATGCTGCTGTGTAGTTACCGGGCGTTTTGTGATGTTAATTTTGAAGAAAAGGACTTAACCGGAGATTAAGGCTTATTTTGTTAGGATTATTTAGTGCATATGTTATTTTTATAGTTTATATATATATATATATATGTGTATATATATATATGATAAAAGCATATATAGTTCTAAAACATGTGTACAACAAATATATGTATATACATATATATATGTATATACACATATGCACACACACACACACACACACACACACACACACACACACACACACACACACACACACACACACACACACATGTATATGTATATACATATATATGTGTATATACATATACATAGTTGTTGTATACATATGTTTCAGAACTACTTGCTATATCAATGATTTTATCTAATATAATCATTTTCCTTCAGGTTACTTCACCATGGGCGTACACTTTCATTGCCATGCACCATAATGTGACCAATCCTATTGAGGATCCAACAGTTGTGCTAAAATACACCACAGGATGGAAGGATGCATGCGCAGTGTTCTTTTACTTCTTGATAACTATCATAATGCATGCTGTGCTCCAGGAATACATATTTGATGTGAGCATACATATTAACTATCTGTAAATAGTACTTATATTCCGTGAGCCTCCGCTAACAACATTGCCTCCTTTCACAGAAAATTTCCAAGCGGCTTCATCTCAGCAAGGCAAAACTTTTCAAATTTAACGAGTCCAGCCAATTGATTGTCTTTTACACAGTGTTTACATTGTGGGCCATCGACATTATAATCAGGTAACATGAAATACATAATAATTCTATAATCGATTTCCTATAAATCCAAAAAATAGAACTAAATATGATTTTATTTAATTTAAATATAATTAATCTAACATAAAAAATATAATGGAAAATTTAATATAGAAAAATAATAAAATAAATAGTCAATTTAATTTAAATATAATATAATTAAATATTATTATTATTATTAAATTATAATTATTAAATTATTATTATTATTAAATTATATTAAATATAATTAAATATTAAAAAACTACTCTTTTTCTTAGGGAGAATATACTCTTGAACCTACCAGCATTATGGACGGAGTACCCGGCGCCGATGTCTTTCTCCTTGAAACTGTTCTTCATCTGTCAGCTTTCCTACTGGTTGCACTGTTACCCCGAGCTGTATTTCCAACGAGTCAAGAAGGAGGATATCGCGCTGCGTGTTCTCAAAGCGACCGTCGGATTGTTCTTCACGTCTTTGGCTTATCTTTTGAAGTAAAAATTACATAATAGCGCGTCATTTCAGACGCACTTTTCTCTTTCACTCTCTCATGCTTGTTTCTAATGGCCAATTCTTTTTCACAGCTTCCAACAGCTTGCCGCAATCTTGCTGACTTTCCATTTCGTGGGAGACGCCTTGATGCACGGAGCCAAACTGATCCACTTCATTAGTCAGAAGGAGAAAGCGTCGAGACGTAAGTCTCTCGTCGAGAAATCATCTACACAAACAAGTCATCTACATAGAAAAATTTGCACCAAAAAAATCTACATAAAAAGTGAGAATTAATTATATTAATGTGTTAATATATTTGTACAATTTCTCACACATACAGTGTCCTTCCTCATTGCCAATTCGGCATACGTGTTCGCCCGCGTCGCGAGCATCGCGCTGTCGGCTGTGGTGTTCTTGTACGGACTGAGGAAGCTGGAGAACAAATTCGACTACGTCACCGGTAGTTTCAACATTCCCGCTGTACAGTATACCGTGGTGTCCGTCATCTCGCTCTTCCAAGGCTACCTGCTGTATCTCTTCGCCGTGAAGCAGATCAAACTCGCGCGTGAGAATGCCGCGCCGGTCGTCGTGAAGGCGAAACCGAAGCAGAAGTCGAGGAAGCGAGAAGGTGAGAGTCATGTTCCGAATCTCTTCCCGTTATGTTCCCGATGTGTCAAAGTTCGTGACGATCCCTGATATATCAATACGACGTGTGTGTGTTATGTGTTCAGGCAAGAAATCCGCTCAGTCCGAAGACGACGAGCTGCCGGAGGTGGATCAGGCGACGAAGAAAAATCTGAGGAATCGCTCGTCGACTAAAGCGAAATAGATGTCTAATAAATTAGAGAAATCACTTCTCCTAAGGCCGATCGGATAATTCGATCCTATTCGTCTGTATGCGTCATGAGTGCGTTTAAACGTGAATCCTGGAACGCAATCGTAATGCAGGAATTCGAGAAGCTTCCATACGTAGTCGCTACCGACTCAGAGTAACGTCGTGCAAAAGGTGTCCGATATTCGGCTTCGTAGGAAAGTGTGTAGAGACGGAGCGGTGGTTCTTGTCGTTAAGTGTTCGTGAGAGCGGTAGATACGGGGATCCGCTATATATGATAAGGAACATTTTTCTTTCATTCTTTCTCTTTTTTTTTCGGTTACGATTAAACCTTTCACGATCTTTTCGTGATTTCCTCATCTTCGTACGAGGCAAGTATTTCGTTCATACAATTATGCGAAAATAATTAATGTGCAATTTTGCCTTTTTAGACACATTGCGTATATTTTCCAGGTACGTTATACGTACTCAATATTTATAGATTACTTGAGAGAAAATTTATACGCGATCGTTTCTTTGTTTCATGGTCATTTAAAGTTCACGGGTTTCCTTTTGCACGTGGCTTTCTTCTCATGAATTTAGGATTAATTGATTAGAAAGTAAGTAGCCAGAATATAAAAATGAATTTATTACGCTAATATAATATATATATATATATATATATATACAATAAGTTCCAAGAAAGAGAGAAAAGTACATAGACGATATATCGCACGAAATAATTATTCTGGACCATAAATGTGTTATAAAAATATTATGTCATAGAAATATACATATCTTATTATGGAATTATGATATACTGTTATATATTGAAATATAAGTTTGCGACTATTTTTTAATACATACATACCGATGGAAAACGGAGTCTCGTTATTTCAGCGCCGCGTGCTTGGCAAGACCAATTTTTCGAGATTGCTCGCGATTAATCCATTCCAATTAAATTTAATTAAAGTTCTAATTTACTATCTCAAAGTAAAATAGTCTGGATATTAATCTAGAAATAATTATGAGATGTATTACATATATTTCAATAGGAAAAGCAAATTAATCTTTTGGAAGAAGATTCTCAGTCATATCATTCCAATAATATTAATTTCACTGATGACTTTCTCTGTACGAAAAGTATTAGAAAATTTCTAAATTTTTAAAATTAAATTTAATTCAAGTTTCAATTTATTCAAAATACAATCTCTCGGTATTAATTTAAAAGTAATCGTGGGATATATATACATATATCTCAAAAGGAAATTAAACCAATTTCCGGAGAAAGACGTTCAATCATAATTCCAATAATATTAACTTCGTTGATGATTCTGCGCGAAAAGTATTATAAAATTTCCAAATTTATCTATTTGAATTTAATTAAAGTTTCAATTTACTGTCTCAAAGGAAAGTACAGCTCCCGATATAATCTAAAAGTAATTGGTGTATTATTTCAACAAAAAAAGCAAACGAATTTCTCGAAGAACGATATTCAGTTATAATTCTAATAATGAATGTTTCTATTTAGTTAGACAAGTCGACGCAAGTATCATTTTGTCTTTGTTCCATTCAATGAGTAACAAAGATGATGCTTGTGTCGACTCGTGTCGTTCAATGGAAATCATTCAATATTAACTTCGCCGATGATTCTTTCTGCACGAGAAATATTACGAATTTTTCCAATTAAATTTAATTGCAAACTTCAACTTACTGTCTCAAAGTAACGTAACATCTCTCTCTCTCTCTCTCAATGTATTATTACTGACAAATAATTACGAGACAATTATTTCAACGAGGGTAAAGCAAGACGAATCTCTCGAAGGGAGATCGTTCAGTCACACTCCCAACAATATCAACTTCGCCGGCGAATTTCAGTACCTGAAATCTTCAACAAATTGTCGACGGACGTTGTCACGGGGGGATCGACTCGATATATCGAACGAGGAGCGCGCAGCAGTCCGGCCGTTCCGGCGTGTCCGGTTCCGCGCGTTCCGCGTGCTCGCCGGAACGTCGGAACCGCCGAGAATCTCGGGATCGCCGAGCGCGCTGCGTGATGGTGGCAGTGGAGCGCAGTGCCGTCGTTGATAGTCTTCGCGTAGCAAGAACATGGGAAGATGGCGACGTACCTGAAGCGCACGTCGAAGCTGTTCGATCTGTCGCAGTCGCGGCCGAGCGCGGACGTGTGCCTGCGGGATCTCATGTGCCCGGTCTGCCGCGGTATCCTGATCGAGCCAGTGACGCTGCCGTGCACACATAACCTCTGCCTGCGCTGCCTGAAGGGCACGTTCGAGCACAACAGCCTGAGCTGCCCGCTCTGCAGGCTCAGGGTGGGCTCCTGGCTGCGCACCGCCACCAAGTCCGAGACTCTGGTGAACCACGGCCTCTGGGAGTTCATCCGCACCAAGTTTTCGAAAGAGGTCGAGGACAAGCACAACGGCGAGGAGCGGGATCTCGGTTTGGACGCTGCTGGTGAGTGTGACATCGCGCGCACATACACTCGCACGCATCCCCCCCCCCTTCCTCGCGCCCCGCGCATACCAGCAATAAACAAACGTAACATAACCTACGAGGAAGCGCTACGACGAGAGCGTGTCATTATTCGTCGGCCGACTACGCCTCTCTCGCGCGGATGGACGTCTCGCTTCTTTCGTCGTGTCTCGCCGACGTGAATTATGTAATCCCTCGGAATGTTTCTCACACGCGTCGTCGTTGTTCGTGCACGACGTCGTTTCGCGGCACTTCGTGCCAAGTGGCCGCCGAGCGCGATACCGCGAGCCGTTGATAGGCGATTTCTTCGTCCGATCTCTTCGCGAGCTTCCCACCTGGGAATCGCACGGTCCTCTCTTCTTCTCGCATGGTCCCCCCTTGTAACGGCTGGTGTTCCTCTCTGACGCAGATTTCGCGGCGAACAGGATACTCAGCGCGGCCGGGGAGATACACCGGGAGTATGAGGCGCAGCTTCAAATAGCCGAGGAGGAGATGCGCCGTCAGAGGCAGGCGGAGCGGAGAGCCAGCGAGGCCTTGATACAGAAGATCCAGGCGGAGGAGCAGCAGCTGTTACTAGCGCAGCTGGCGCAGGACCAGCTGCTGGCCAAGAACCTGGCGAAGAAGCAGGTCGCGGAGAAGCAGAAGGAGGCGGCCACCAAGTGCTACAATGACTGCTTGAACACGTCGGCAGCCAGTTATACGTACGACGTGGGCAAGTACCACGTGAAGAGCGCGCGTGCGAATAACGCCGAGGCGCCGCAGGCCGAGAGCACCCACCCGGCGGATGGCAAGCGGACGAGTCTTCCAGAGTCCGTGCGGGGCAGCTCCGAGCTGCGACGGACGAACATGGCGTTGCTGTCGAAGATCTGCGCGGAGAGGTACTGCAAGGTCAAGAGCAACGCGCCGAGCACGTACAAGAACTGCTGCCCGAAGCAGCTGGCGGTTTACAACGTCGTGACCAAGTCGTTCAAGCAGCAGGCGGTGCCCAGGTACATCCAGCCGTGCACTTCGAATTATCCGATGGATCCCGGTTGCTCGACGTCGCAAGCCTACGCTACCGAGACCAAGGAGGAGCTGCGCGTGCCGAGCGATGTGGTGAACAGCAAGAAGAAGAGCCTGGAGGTGGAGGTGTGCAGAACACACGGCTCGCCTGACCCGCACCGGACCGACGACGACGAGAGGATAGGGAGCGCGGAGAGCTCGGGCAGCCACGACAGCATCAATCAGGAGATCCATCATTTCAAGCCGATCAAGACCGTGCCGAGGACCTCGTTCAAGGTCTCTTCAGGTACGCACTCGCGATGATGTCTTAGCTTCAGCCGTGGAAACGATTCTATCGGCTTGCCGCGAAAGTTTCTTCCTTTTTGTTCTCCCGTCAAAATGAAAGGAAAGCAGGGTGAGATGGCGAGTTGCTGGGTTTTCTAATAACAGACAACGAGTTGGTGTCTTACTCGGCGGTTTTTCATAATAATTGATGTGTCGTCATTTAGTCGTTGCGTCATTATAATATCATTTTTTTCCTGAGCTGCCATTAAATTTGTAACACGTTCTGTATGTTTCTTTGCCGTCTCTCTTAATGAAACTTAATGAAACTGCTCCGAAAGTGTACTTGTATCGCCCTTGGTCTTTCCTTGTTATGAACTTTCAAACTGTACCGTGAAAAGAATACACTGTATATTAAGTTGTTCAAAGATAAACCCCTGGGAAAGTAAGCGTGTTATTTTTTTCTTGCTTAAATGGGCTCGGTTACTTTCAGAATTTGACAAGAAATATTATTTTTGGTCACTTTGATGTCTGAGAAGTTACTTTTTGTCAACTTTTCTGCCAAAAAGCAATCATTACTTTACTTTTTCGTTCCAGTGACTGAATGGCAGCGCTGATAATAATAAATAATCTGTTGTAATTTGACTTCAATGACAGTTGATTATCAATTTTGACAGTTTGTTTATCAGCGACAACGAATAGATAATATAATAAGAAATGTATTTTGGATACATCCATATGTGATTTTGTGTGCATTTCTTTATGAAAATTTATACAATTATAGTGAATATTTTCATTTTTCATATTATATTTTTTTTAATTGGATAAATAAATGTGAGACCATAGGGGTAAGATGATATATTATATGCAGACAAGATTATGCAATCATATATTTTATTTTAAATTATATAATTACAAATAATTCTTTTTACTTTTGTTCTCGTCTAGATTTTATTTTCTTTAAATTATTTTTATCTTTACCTTATTGCGTTGTACAGGCATATTATAATAACAAAATAATATAAAAAATTTATGTAAAAGTTGTTTTTGTATGCATAGAAAATGTGTTTTTAATTTTTGTCATCTTACCTATATATAGTGATAAGATGATGAAATTGACACATTCTCAAAAATTTAAATTAAACAACATTCTAATTTAACATTGATTATTTTTACTTCACTATGAAAATGAAGAAAAATAGACAAACCGTAAAGTCGTCACTTACCCCCATTTCTTTTACATATACATATGACATTTATTTATTTTAAAATATAATCAATCAGTAAAATGTCGTTTTATTTGATGACCTACCATCTCTCTGATAATCACAAAATCCTGCGCCCCTTTTTGGATTTGTGAGCGAAAAACTGATTATAAAACGGAATGATTTTTTGCATCATTTTAACATATATATGAAAAAATACATCTAATTTTTGTGAGAGATCATTTTGGTGTTTGCTTATATTCATATTGTATCACATTAATATACATGTTTGTAATTTCAGATGGAAAACAGATAGATCCGAAGTTGATTAGAGTGGTTCCTATCATGAAAAGAGTGATTAACGCGGTACTGAAGCCCCCATCGCCGACACACCTGAAACGGATCATTGGATGTTCCTGGAGCGCTTTCAGAGGTAAATTATGCGTGTGACGAAAGCGAACCCATCATTAATTATGGAGACACTACCGATGCACATCTTATATTTCTAAATTATTGTAAATCTTCAAAGAAACCTCCTTAAAATAACTCTTTTAAAAATCTCCTCAAGGCTCATTTCTTGAGACAGCTTCTAATTTGGCGGTTTGGTCATTTTATATGCACTGTGAGAGAAAAATATTTAAAAAGTAAATATTTATTCGGCGGGTTATAATAACATGTTTATTTATATTACCATCCATACTTTTACATTAAGAAAAGAATGTTTTTGAATGAGAAAATATATACATTTTCTTAAATCCGTACCTTTGCATGAAAGTAACTGTTTGTTCCATTTAAAGAAAAAGAATTTATATTTAAGTAAATATGTTATTAGTACTCATCGAAAAAATATATTTTTATATTTCTTCGATATTTTTTTTCATAGTGTACGTATCTTAAGACTGGATCTACAACAACTGCAGTAAACCTATGGCCTTTTGCTCTAAGCACTGAGTTGTAACGAAATTTTTAATGAAAAGCGCTATCAGACACATCGCAATTTCTAAGATTTCAGCGTTATTACGACATTCGGCAACGCGGAAAATGCCTTTTGTCGGAAATTACATTACACTTTATTGCTTAGAACCTAAGCTTTAGAGCCTAAGTAATAGATATTTTTCTCTCACAGCGTATATAAAATGACCAAACTGCTGACTTCGGTTATCAATATTTTACGAGGATGACCTCGTTCTTGCCGTACGGGACGCCTTACCCGCGGACGACTATCGGACACGCGATTGAAACTACGCAAAGGTGAATATACATGCGCTCGTTTTTATTAGTTTGTAATATGTTGTAACAGGTAAAGCAAGGCAGGACGCGAGGGAGAAGCAAGCCGCGCGCAATGTGGGTACGGATACGACGGCATCAATCGATCAGAAACCGTCGACGTCACTCAACCAGCCTCAGACGGTTCCGAGCAAGTCGGCGAAGCCGCAGACGAGTGATGCCCGGCTCGACTTTATCCTCGAGTCGTCGTTCGATAGCAACAAAAATTACACGAAAAGCGTAAACAAGATCGTCAACGGCACTAAAGTGAGCAAAAAGCTGACGCTGGACGACGAGTCGGACGCGAGGACGACTCGTAAGTGCTGGCGGACGCGCGTGCGAAACGGCATGGTGACCAAACGGCACAGAAATGTCAGGTACAGGAAAGGCGCCGAGCTCACCTTGGACGAGGAAGTGGACGAAAAAGAGATGGAGGAGGACGATCCGAGAACCCCCAGCCCGTCGTGCGGCAAGACCAGTCCGCAAAACGACGAGCGGGACGGCGAGGTGAATGACGTGGCGATCGAAAATATAGCGGAGCGCATCAAGAGGAGGAAAGTGAACGTGGAGAAGAAGAAGCTGCCGGAGGCGGACGCGTCGTCGAAAAGAAGCACGAGGAAGCGAGTGTTGTCCGAGAGGAGGGACAAAAGCTCGTCGTCCCGGGAGAACGGCGCGCCGAGGAGCGTGTCGAAGCGACGGAGATTACGCAGGAGCGACGCGGGCAAGAGTGAGTCATCGAGGAACGCGACGATGGTGGGTGGCAAGGTGGCCGGCAAGAGATCGGCCGAGTGCAACAACGGCAAGTTCAGCTACGACTCGCCGCCGGAGTCCTGCGACGAGACGGAGGAGGCCGTCGTGAACGAGAAGCAGCGGCACGAGCGTCTCTCGGACCGGGAGGTGATCGAGGAGCAACAGCGGATCGAGCAGGTGCTGCTGCAGGAGCGGGAGGACTACGAGCTGGCGCGCCGCCTGCAGGCGAAGTTCGACGAGATGGAGCGGGTGGCGAGGCGCACCAGACGCTCGAGGAGAGCCGTCGAGGACGAGACGAGTTTCGACGTGGCGGAGCTGCGCGAGATCGCCGCGGTGAGGACGGTGGCTCGCAAGGCGAAGCCGTCGCTCGTCGTGCGCACCGCCAAGACCGTGCCTAAGAAGAAGCGCGGCCGGCCGCCGAAGCGCGTGAAATAGGACGAGATGCGCGCGCGAGAACCCTCCACATTTGGATGTTCCTATAGGCCGAGGAGGAAGACGAGGAAGCGAAGAGGGGAGGAGGAAGTTTGATCACTCTGTCCGACGTGTTTCAAAGAGCGATCGGTCGCACGGATGTCGAATGCGTACCTGGTGTGCATCGCGAGAGAGTACGGACGAAGCGGTCTCGCGGCCGATTTTTCAGATATCGTTGTGTGAACGTCGTTCCCGGTGCCCAGGAAGAGACGTTGACGCGCGTCTCTCTCTCTCCGCGCCGTCTTTGTTCCTAACGCGCGTCGTGCGTGCGCGTGATCGAAGTAGCGAGCGGAAGGCGGGCGCTTGAAGACCGTGCGGATCGGACGATGAGTGCGGCAAGTCTGAGTTAGCCTTTCGCTCTGAGCGTCCAATTGTGATTTCTAGCAAAAATCCGCGTGTCCAGCGCGGATGTCGACGTTCCTAATAAGATTCAAGCGTGATCGCGACTTCCGAGCGTGGCGAACGCCTCTTGTCAGAAATCGCCGTCATATTGGACTGCTCAGAGTGAAAGGGTGGGGGATTACCTGCGACCTATTGTAGATCCGGACTCACGGTCGTATACATACAACGACAGATTCTTTGGCCAAGCAGCGGCCGGTGACTTGGTTTCAGCGGAAAATTCAAGGTCCACTTCGTGGCGCATCTAAACGGATCATTAAGTGTTTGTGGCGAGATTCTATTGCTCATTCAAAACTAAAAGAGGCTTTATTTTTACAGAGAATTTTTATTTGAGATATAAATATGTGTATATATGTGTATGNGCGTGCGTGCGTGCGTGCGTGCGTGCGTGCGTGCGTGCGTGCGTGCGAATTTTTAACTAATATATCGAAAAGTAGCGACTGGAGCGATCGATTTGTGTGTCCGTCGTTTCGAAAAGTTCCGGGTGCGCGAGAACCGTCAAAGAATCTGTTGGAATCGAGATCGGTGCTTCTGAGACACCCCGTGTCCATTTTTATTAATTAAAATAGGCTAATGAAGATGAGATGCTCCCCACCTTTTACAATCAAAACAGCGTGACAATAGAGAACGAATGAGATGTTGAATTCGGCCAGGCGTGGTATACAGTAGCGCACACGTCTCTAATCGCGACGGGAAGAGAAAGAGAAAGAGAGAGAGAGAGAGAGAGAGAGAGAGAGATGTATATACGAGATTGAAACTGTAGTTTTATACGCAGCGATTACACTTATTTTGTAAGAGAGCTTGTCCATTTAAGTAGGCTTAGATCGCTTCTTGTTACAGCAGTCTCGTAAGGTTTATATATCTTAAGTATTATACGCGAGTTGATTAGCTTCTTTTTTTCTGTGAAAGTTCGATTCGCTGACAGTCGGTCCTTGATAGCCGCTTTCCCAACTCGTTTAGCGGCGCCGAGTCGCGCGCGCGCGAAACGATGCATGTCGATCGATATGCCGATCAAGGGCTGGACGTGTGCAGCGTCATTGTTAAACGCGGTTTCTATCGGGAACTGATGAACTTTGGACGGGGGAGCCATGGGAGGATTCTCGACCGATTCTCCGCTCCTTTCTGCGCATATACGCTCGCGCAAGTTGGAAGGAGCGGCGAATTATATACGACGTTATCTCGATTATCTTAAGTCGCAATGTTTCGCGGGAACGATCCTACCGTGTAAAGTTTGTTACGTGACATTTATATAGATTTCCGAGCGAGAAAGACGTATTATAAGTGAATCACGTATTAACGTTATAAGAAGAGTGAAAGTGAGAGAAAATGTGAGGGAGAGAGAGAGAGAAGAAGAGAAATTATATGTTTGATAAGGTCCGCTTGAGATATCGCGATTATTGTCTACTGTCAGCTTCGACGGCCTTGATTATCATACCGCAATCGAATTACTTGTTATAAATTAAGCGTTGTATTAAGAGATTTTTGCACGGATACACACACCCGGCGCGATTGTGTGCATGCAGGTGTCCGCCGCGGTGTTCCTTTCGCGCGGGATTCGACGGGATTCGCGCTTGTCGAGAACTGTCGCGGGTTGCAGTTCCTTCGTACGCGATGCAGTCTTTTTTTCTGCTGATAGGACCCGGATCCTCGCCCGTACGTGCCACACACACACACACACACACACACACACACACACACACACACACACACACACACACACACACACACAAAACGTTTTTTTAAGAGTCCGTCGGTGTCGAAATGATTTCGCGCTTTAGCCTTTCCACGCCCCTGCCGTTTGTGATACTGTCGCAGTATTCTACAAGTCGATGTGCAGCGCGGGCTCTCGACCGCGAAAGGAGAGCACGACACGTCCTTAACCCTCTCGTCGTTGATCCTTCGTAGTACTTTGCACGCACGTACACGTCTCGAACGAACGAAAGATGCTTCATCCGAAATTTGCCGCGAGAAAAGCGGGACACTTTTTGTCGGACCGTAGAACGAGACCGCGTCGGATTCACGCGCGTGCTTGCTTCTCGCCACTTTCACAGCCACTATCCGCGAACCGTACTTCAGGCTTGTCGACCGGACGTGATCGAAGGTGCGCTCGTTATGCGCTCGTGGCGCACGTTAGGACTCGCCGTAGACCGGTTAATTCCTCGGCGTCGCGCTTGAATGAACGTAATCGTCAACATCTCGACGGGATACGACGTACCGCAACCGTCGCGCCCTTAAAACGTCGCGGTGGAGGAAAGAGAAAGAAGGAGAGAGAAAAGGGAAGAAAGAGAGTCTTTTACCGAATGTTATTTAAATGATAGAGGATACTTTTATAGAGACGAACGTGAATGTAAGAACGACAGAGAGAGAGAGAGAGAGAGAGAGAGTCGACAATCGACGAGGGAACGTTCGGATATCGTCGAAATTTACGATTTTAATGAACCGTCAGATGTCCTTTTGTGTTTATCGTTTTTTCCTTCTTTGTTTTTACCCTCCAGCGACTCGGAATGAAAGAGAATCGTCTTTTATTTCGAGCCACTCTACGACAAATCTGTGAATCGCGAGACTCGAAGAGGCTTCTGGAAGTTTCCTCGTTAGTGCAGAATAAACGGGAATGCCGCCGCATCGAGTACGAATGGTCGCGGTAGAGAGGTTGTTTTCATTGTTGCTCTCATCGTTCTTCCGTATTTTTTTTTTCTTTTCTCTTGTTTTTTCGTTGGCGATCTCTCGCCTAATCACAACGGACGGTGATTCGTCTCTCACAGGGATCNGGGGGGGGGGGGGGGGATCGGGCTTCATCGGCGGGAATGATAGTCTTTCAATTATATTTCTTTATTCTTCATCTTGTGTGTAAATTTTCATTCATGTACGAATATATGCCGTACGTATGTGCATGGATTAAGTAACGTGTATGATAGCCAATCCCGTGCGAACGAAGTAACGTCGGTGGAGGGGGGGGGGGGGGGGGGGGGTTCATAAA